CTTGACCAACGCTGGAGCAGGTTCAGGTACATTCAGGAGCCGGTGCATGCTCCAACAGTGCGTAGCAGAGACGTGACCGATCGCCCAAGTGACTAACGAGCTGATCAGTAAAGAGGATAAAAGTAAAATAAAAGTTTGCGCCCCTCCTGGAAATTACTCAGGCCCCCATTAGGGAGGAACCCCCCGTTAAGAACCACTGATCTAACCTAACCAACAATACCTAAACTTAACCTAATCCAATATATTCAGGAGCCAGTGCATGCCCAGCACTTGCCAAGTTGCCAACAGTGCGTTAAGGAGACAACCGACGGCATAAGCAATAACAAGCTACCTGACCCAGTTCAGTTGCTTCCTGACCCAGTTCAGTTGCTACCTGACCCAGCTTGAGTTGCTACCTGACCCAGCTTGAGTTGCTACCTGACCCAGCTTGGAGAAGGACGTGCCCCCAAGTTCTCCCGTAGTGACCAAGGAAAATGGCCGCCTTGGATCGTTGTGTCTTGGGCGAAGAGGAGAGTAGTGTGGGGAAAGACGACCTCTTGGCCACTCTGCTAAGGCAGCTGGGGCAGTTGAGGAGTGAGGTTGACACTCTAAAGGGGGAAAATGAAGCCCTCAAGACTGAACTCCTTCAGGTAGGTGTCCTGTCTAGCAGGACACCTGCGAAGGAGGAGCAGGCGTGGAGAGTGGTTGTCTCCAAGGGGACTAGGGTCCGGCTCAGGAAAGCTGACCAGGGTGTGGCATGTAGGAACCCCTCCCAGGTGCTGGAGGAAGCTGGCGAGGAAGAGAAGAGGCAGGAAAGTGTGGTGCAGGTAGAGGAAAGGGCAGTTGTACAAACCCTGCCCAGAGGTAAGGTCGTGGTAGTTGGGGACAGCCAGGTGAGGTTTTTAGAAAGGACTTTTTGTACAAGAGATAGGAAACGTAGGACTAGGGTGTGTTTTCCTGGGGCTGGGATAGGGCATGTAGCTGAGAGGTTAGACAGGGTTTTGTCAGGGGAGGGTACCAATCCAGTAGTGTGTCTTAGTGTGGGAGGAAACGACATAGGAAAGGTTAGGAGTGAGGAACTTTTCAAGAGGTATAGGGAGGCGCTGGGGAAGATTAGAGATAGGGGAGGGATCCCGATAGTATGTGGTGTCTTGCCTAGAAGAGGGGTTGGTCGTGAATGGCTGTCCAGGGCAATTGCTATAAATTGCCGACTGGAAAAACATTGTGCAAACAATGGTTGGGCATTCATTGATAGCTGGCAACGATTCTATGGCAACGACTACCTGTACAGTCGTGACGGAGTACACTTGTCTCGTGCGGGGGTAAAGACGTTGTCTGCATCCCTGGAGCGTGAAATTGTCACTCCAAAGGGGGGGTTTCGCCAGTAGAGAGAGGTCGGGGAAAGTGGGAGTCAAAAAACAAGCAGGTCCTGGGAAGTAAAATTAGTTACTCAGGACAAGGGGTAAAACAGGACCAGGGAAGGGTAGGCTTAAATGTATACTATACAAACAGTAGGAGCGTTAGAAATAAAATAGACTTGCTGAGAGCGGTTATATGTACCGAGAATGTAGACGTCATAGCAATCACCGAAACTTGGATGAATCTGGCGAGCAAAATTTTTTTATCAGAGTAACACATAGAAAGGTACAACCTTTTTCACAAGGACAGGGAAGGTAGGAAGGAGGGAGGGGTTGCACTCTTCGTCAAGGATACATTAAAATGTTGTATTAATAATTCAATAAAGGGTGAAATGGGAACCGAGTCTGTATGGGTAGAAATCACAGAAGGAAGGGAAAAACTAATTATGGGAGTGATTTACAGACCCCAAGTCTGGGCAAAGAAGCAGCTCAGCCCATATGGCAGGAAATGAGTAGGGCAGCAAAATATAACAACCTGTGCATTATGGGGGATTTCAACTTCAGAAATATTGACTGGGACAACATTGTAGGTGACTATGATTCTGAAGATTTCCTAGACGCAGTACAGGACAATTTTTTGAAACGACTAAATACAGAACCTACTAGAGGTGACAATATATTAGACCTAGTATTAACAAATAAAGAAAATATTATCAGAGATATCACAGTAGGGGAAGAACTAGGTAACAGGGATCACAGAGAAATCAGGTTCACCCTAAATTGGGAAACAGAAAACAATGACAATATGGTCAGAGTCCCAAACTTTCGGTTGGCGGATTATCAGGGATTAAGAAGGTACCTAGGTGAGGTCACCTGGGAACAGTCACGTCAGTCCCCAGTAGGAAGGGGTGAGGTCATAGATGACACAACAACTGATCATGACTATAATATATTCACTAGTATACTACATAAAGCACAAGAACAAAATATACCATACAGAAAAATTAGGTCAAATAAGAATGAGCCAAGGTGGATGACCAGAAAACTTAAACATGACATAGGAATAAAGAAAGGAATTTATAAGAAATTAAAGGGACGGGAGGAGCAGCTCAGAAATAGGTATAATGAACTATCTAGGAATGTTAAGAAAAATGTAAGGAAAGCAAAGAGAGACTATGAAGTCAAAATAGCAAGAGAATCCAAGGCGAATCCCAAGGGATTTTTCCAGGTATAGAAACAACAGTCAAGGACAAAGTTGGGCCTTTAAAGTCAGGGAGGGGAGAAGTGGTAAATGGCATTGAACAACTACTTATCAGTTTTCACAGAAGAAATTCACGAGGAAATTCCAGAGGTGGAACTGATATTTAAGGGGAAGGAAGAAGAGAAATTAAAGAATATCACTATCAGAAAAGCGGATGTTCTTAAGAGGATAAATAAACTAAAGAAGACAAAATCCCCAGGGCCGGATGAAATTTTCCCTCGAGTCTTGAAAGAGTGCAGGGAACAGATTAGCGGACCCCTCGTAAATTTATTTACAAAATCATTAGACACGGGAGTTGTGCCAGACTTGTGGAAACAGGCAAATGTAGTACCGGTACCCATATTCAAAAAGGGAGACAGAGCATTAGCGTCAAATTACCGGCCGATCAGTTTGACGTCAGTAGTGGGGAAATTTCTTGAATCAATTATAGCAGATAGCATCCGATCGCATCTAGAGAAAAGCAAATTAATCTACGACTCTCAACATGGGTGTACAAAGGGAAAATCTTGTCTAACAAATCTGCTGACGTTTTTTAGGAAAGTCTTTGAGGTAGTAGATAATGACGAAAATTACGGTTATTTACTTAGACTTTAGCAAAACATTTGACAGAGTACCGCTTCAGAGGCTTCTGAGAAAAATTAAGGCTCATGGTATAGAGGGGAAAGTTTTAAATTGGATAAAATCATGGCTCACCGATAGAACGCAGAGGGTCAGCATAGATGGTGTTAAATCTGAGTGGGGACGTGTAACCAGTGGGGTTCCCCAGGGGTCAGTACAAGGCCCACTCTTGTTCATAATCTACATAAACGATCTAGATACTGGGATCAGCAGTGACATAAGCAAGTTTGCGGATGACACCAAAATAGGGCGGCAAATTAATTCAGGGCAGGATGCAAATGCATTACAGGAGGATCTAAATAAACTGCAGGGGTGGTCTGAAAAATGGCAACTGAAATTCAACACCAGCAAGTGCAGCATACTTAATATTGGAAGAACAAATACTGTCAATGTATACAGCCTTAACAACATCAACCTAGAGAGGTCGACTTGTGAAAGAGACCTAAGGGTACTTGTAAGCCCGGACCTACGGCCTAGAAAACAGTGCGTTAATGTTTGAAATAAAGCAAACAGAGTATATTGGGTTTTATATCTAGAAGTGTAAGTAATAAGAGTGCAGAGGTCTTATTGCAACTATATCTTGCGCTAGTCAGGCAGCACCTCGATTATGCGGTTCAGTTCTGGTGCCCTTATTATAGAATGGATATCAATTCACTAGAGTCGGTGCAGCGAAGAATGACGAAAATGATTCCGGGACTTAGAAACCTTCCATATCAGGATAGGTTAAAGAAACTAAACTTGCATTCCCTAGAAAGACGAAGAGTGCGGGGAGATATGATAGAAGTATTTAAGTGGGTGAAAGGAATGAATAAAGGGGATATAGATAAAGTTCTTATAATATCCGAGCAGGATAGGACTCGAAGCAACGGATTTAAGTTGGATAAGTTTAGGTTTAGGAGGGAGATAGGAAGGAACTGGTTCACAAATAGGGTGGTGGACGAGTGGAACAAGCTTAAAAACTATGTAGTAAGTGCGGGAACTCTGGAAAGTTTCAAAATGAGACTGGATAGATTCATGGATGATAGAGAGTGGTAGTAACTCTCGACAGGGAGTCCGACTAATTACCCAAATGTAGCCGCAATGAAGTCAAATGATGGTCGTACAAGCGTAAATCGGGTTGTTAATCACTTCTCGATTATTATTTGGTGTCATAAAGTCACAAAAAAATTGGTAAACTTAATTTAATCTGAGTTGTGTTAGGTTAGATTAGATTAGATTAGATTAGATTAGGTTAGGTTAGGTTAGGTTAGGTTAGGTTAGGTTAGGTACATGCACTTGATCTATTAACTCAGATGAAATTAAGTTTACCAATTTTTTGTGACTTCGTGACACCAAATACCAGTCGAGAAGTGATTCACAGCCCGATTTACGCTTGTACGACCATCATTTGACTTCATTGCGGCTACATTGGGTAATTAGTCGGACCCCCGGTCACGGCAAAATATCCACTGCCTAAAGTAAAGTAGCAAACCCACTGCTTGGAGAAACTACAAGTTGACAATACATCAACATTTACTCCTTCTAGTGGTAGTGCTGTTGTCACACATCACCCAATGAAGCAGAAACAACCAAATATTCTTTACACAAGGTGATGTAATACGTCACGTTCTCTTACCAATATCTTCCTTGTATTGAGTTAAATTCAAAATTCTTATTATCTTTTATGACTTATTTATTGTCACATTCGCATTAAGATAACACAATATAAATGAAATATAATAATATTCTCACTATACTTCAATTTTAATTTAATTATACGTACAGTAATGTAATAAGAATATTGAGAAAGCAGTAAATCTTAAAGAGACTTTAGGTGCACGAGAACAGAGGAGGACACTATCGAGCCAGGCAGCGAGACCAGGTGTCACAGTTCAGCAGTTATCCTACGCCAGGTTTGAGTAATGAATGATTCAAGTATTTGTGTGATAATTGTAAATATTCGGTAATCATGTACGACTTCATAACCGCTGATTTTTCATAGAAAACGAATTTAAGAACTGCAATTTCACTGTGTATTTTATATTGGACATTGTCGTAGTTATGGCAAGTGTGTTAAAAAGTGTTTTTATTGGCTGTCCACTTCTGACACCGGGAGATAGAACGGTGCACTAATATTAAAAGACCGAAAGAACTGTGCACTACTACATATAACTTGACCTTTTTTACCTCAAGACTAAGCAAATTGGGTGGAGGAATAGTGCTGTACTTTTCCTATTCAGGTTTTTGTCGATCTTTTCCATAAATAATGACACTCCGTGCCCATTCACCTGACGATACCATGTGTGTCTTTGAACTGTTGACAAATGTTTTCCAGTGACCTTTCAATATGAATTAAAATCTTAGCACCCTAACCTAAACAACACTAACTAACCTACCTAACCAAACTTGATGTAACGTGGAAGTAGCTATTAATATGTATGGAAATGATATTGGCAAGTGTTTGTGTGGACTGTACTATATTGCCAAGGAAATGTTAAAAAAATTGCTAATCATTATCCCGTTTGGGGGATTTTCTTAATGTAAAAAAGAATTTATTATTGTTTATAGACAACTAATCTTGAGTTGCTCTTTCTAACTGAGCATGAAATGAAAACGTCACTGACTAGGAAACGTTCCTGCTTTCATAAAATTAGATGGTGGACAAACATGTTGTTGTAGGGTGAATGGGATAGTGTGTCTTTATGACGAAAACTGGGGAGAAAAAATATGAAAAGTGCAATTCCTCTGCCTGATTTAGGTTATTATTCATGTGAGAAATAAATTATACACTAATAACTTATTGTTGTTGAGAAATGGATATTTAATCTTTAGAATTCACTGAATCCTAATAATTTAACCCCTTGTGTATGGGTTCCTCTCTGAGTTGAATAAAATCGTCTGACGTTAACCAAATAAATTATAAAAAGTAACGTCCCTGTAGTGAATTGTTAATATTTACTATAATATCTCCACAGAGCAGAAGTGTTGTAGCACCACTGCAGGATGGCACCCCATGGTGGTAGAGGTGAGTCAAGCTCCGTTGCCTCACACAGCTGTCATCATTGTCTTCCACTTTGTATAAAACATAATTATAAACTATAAGAAGTGTAGGTTATTCATATACAGTCAGTCCCTGACTTACGACGGGGTTAGGGACCCAAATCCAGGTCGTAAGTCGAATTGATTGTAAGTAAAAAATGCAAAAAATAATACATATAAAATCTAAAATGAAATACAATACAGTAAAAGTAATCAATAATGAAGAATGAATACAGTGTTACTTTGCACTTACCTTTAATGTAGTCAGTTGAATGCACACGGGGCCCCAATAATTTTTTAATTAAACATGGAGACTACATTAATTCGATGAAGCAGAGGAAGAGACAGGGCTGGGTGGGTCATCAATGTAATTTTCTTCAGACAGGTTAACATACAGGGGATACTTGCTTGTTGAAGGTATTGGATCATCTTTAGGAAGTGAAGAGGCAACATTGGTGGGGCGTGAGGAGACAGCAATGGGGGACTTCTTAAAATATATGTCCAATTTAGACTGCACAGTTTGCCTTTTCTTTTCATTGTAAATATCCATGTAGCAAGCAAGTGCATCTTGGATCATTCTGTCAACTTTTGTAAAACGTTCAACATTTTGATCCATTCTGTCAAACATTTGTATCCCCTTCTTAATAGTAGCAAATGCCTCTGCGATTTGTTTCACTGAAAATTTTTTGGGGGCGCAGGTTCTTCTACATTTTGACTCTTCTTCCTCTGCAATTTTCTGTGCGTCCAGTTCAATAAGATCCTCGTTACTTAGCTCTTCTGCTACACTTTCAACCAACTGCTCTACTTCTTCCATATCAATTTCTAACTCCAGCTGTTTACACAACTCCACTATCTTGTTACTTATCTCAGAAATTCTTCATCTTCATTAAATCCTTTGAAACTGTTCATATATCTTTTCAGGACTTTCTTCCATATTCCATTCATGCACTGACCTGTAACCTCATCCTATGCTGCAGCTATGTTCTTTATACATTTCAAAATGTTGTAGTCATTCCAAAACTCTCTGAGCGTTTTCTCACCTTCAGTAGCAGCAACAGCCTGAGCGAAGGTCATACGTAAATAATACGCTTTAAAAGCAGCAATAGCACCTTGATCCATGGGTTGGATGATAGAGGTAGTGTTAGGTGGAATGTAGACTACTTTAACATCAGGGTGCAGGTCATCCAGGTGTGGTGGGTGTCCAGGAGCATTATCTAAAATTAGTAAAATCTTGAACGCAACCCCTTGTTGCAGACAATATTCCTTGGCTCGTGGAATGAAACAACTCAAGAACCAATCCTCAAACTGTACTAGGGTCATCCATGCTTTCTTTCTGTACACCACGAGGCAGCCCAGCCCACGCGACGCTCTCGTACGGGATCGATACGTTTCGGTCCTAGAAAATACGTACGGAGTTTGAAAATTTTTGGGTACGACCGAGGCGGTCATATGTCCGGATGGTCGTATGTCGAGTAGATCTTAAGTCGAGGACTACCTGTATACTACTACAGGATTGAGTTTTATCAGAAGTAACACTATGCACAGTGATGTCATAACCTTTCACTCGCCAAGAAACATTACAAATAGGTGTTGTAGTACTGTATACCCGTATTAGTCAGTGCATAGTTAGCATAATTATTTATGGTATTTTTCATTTGCTAGTATGTACTATACAAGTACATTAATCATTCTACTGTTATGTCAGTGTTGATATTTTCTTGTACATTGGTTATTGTATATGGATTAAAATTAGTACTGTACAGTTATAAAAGTACTGGTCTTTGATACTTAAGTAAAAGTATTGTTACATTGACAAAATGTTACACAAGTAGAAGTAAAAGTATCCAAAATTCAAGGTACTCAAGTATAAGTAAAAAAAAAAAAAGTCTCATTCATAAAGTACTCAAGTACCTAAAGTAAAAAGTAAAAAAATTTTTTTTTCTCAAATATTAGAATAAATCCACAGTTAATTATAAAAGAAATAGTTAACTAAAGATAAAATTAAAAGACACATAGCATTACACGTGTTTATTTGCAAAACTTTCTATTTAGATTAATCGGTAACTGATTCTCAAAATTATGGCTGTCCAATCAGGATCTCTTAGGCCTAATTATAAGCCCAATATGTTACAGTATGCTATTGTAATGTGCTACATTATTAGAAGGTGAATGTTGAAAGATGTATACTGTGTTAATTTTTGGAAGATGCTACGCCAAAGTGTATGTTTTGTTTACTGACCGCTAGAGGGCAGGCTACGATTAACAACAATAAACCTGGAGCCTCGTGCATCGTCTCTCCCCCAAAACCTCCACAATAAACTAGAAACGTGGAGTGAAACACGATATGACCTACCCTTCAACACTATTGCCCTGACTGTCCTACTGTCAGGGACTTCCTACCACAGGACAAGTCACTAACCACTATATATCAGCACCTACTTATTTGTATTAATGTAAATTTAATTCTTGTACGCTACCCACGCTTTGGTGGGTGCTAACTCCCATTGTCCTAAAATCATATGAATATTGTCTCTATATCACAAGTCTGACAAGTCATAGCGTGTCCTGCGAGATATGAATACCAATGTATTAGTCTTACTGCATGGTCTTGTGACTAGGCTTATCGCCCCCTCGGCTGTAATAAATAAATTAAGTAATAAGCCCAACATGACTAAACAGACGTTCACAAGCAGCAGATGCAGGGAGTGGGGTGTTAAGTTTTAGCAATGTCACATAATGTCGGGAAAGACCTCAGTAGCTCCATTCCATCCCCTGAGCATGTCAAGTAGCTATCGAGCTCCTTCAGTTAAGGAGTTTGTGGATGATTGTTGCCTCCATAGTGACCGAGTCTGACTAAAACTCACCATGAACTGTTCCTCTAATTGGGGTGTGACTGTGGTGATATCACTTTTTGATTCTAACTGATGAGGTGGCTGAATTTTTCACACCACTTAACATTTGGCGGGGGGTGGGAACTTAGTTATTTAAGCAGAATTTAAATACACTCAGTCTAACACATATGTATAGATACAGGCTTTAACATAAGAATTGAGGAAACTGCAGCGGAACTATTGACCCATACTGGGCAGTCCCATTTACACCCAACCCCTTTCGCTCGTATATCCATCCAACTTACGTTTTGAAGCTATACATCTAAGACGGAATTATGTAAAGCATTTTAGAATCACAGCCTCCTTTAAATTCATCTTAGGTACAGGGATATGCAAAGAGCAACTGACATCTAATGGTAAGACCAAGTCCCTGATGGAAAGGTGGGGGAGAAGAGAGGGGAGGGGGGGATGGTCAAGGTACTAATGGGCACAAAAAGATCAAAGGGAAAGTTTGCTGTCATAGTCACTGCTACCTGACCTAATTTGACCTCATCTCACCTCATGAGATCTCTAGGTATGTGAGTGCGTGGTGTCTCCCCACACCCACACTGTACCCTTCACGGCTTCACACACACCATGCCCTCCACTCACACAACTCTTTTTACTCTGGTTAGTAATTAATTATTTAAAAAATATAGAATTAGTTTGCATGTAACGAGTAACAAGTTTTGTTTTTTCAATGTACTGTATTAGAGTATTAGAAAACCTTACTTAAGTAAGAGTAAAAAAAAAAAAAAAAATAAAAAAAAAATAGTTTTTTAAAAAGTAAATACCCCAAAATGTTACTTGAGTATATTGTACAGTACTCAAGTAACATTTATTTAGTTATAGTACTTTATAACTCTGGGACTGTACTGTATATGAACATGTAGATACAATACTATTTTTGTGTATATGTTGCAATCTTGATAACTACATAATGGTCTGCTAATATTTTGTTCAAATTTAATTTATGTAGTTTAATGATGAGTGGATAAAGATGTAGTTTTAAAATAGGTTGTTCTCTGATGTATAGTAACAGGTCTGCCTCGGCTGACATCTTTCCTGCGGTCGCATGCTAATGTTAGCCGAAGTGGTGGAGACGAGGAGTATGATCTAGCACAGGTGTTGGCCATTAAGCGAGAAGAACGAAACAAACGTATGAAGTAAGTCTAGAGGCTGAAGATGAGTGTGAACATTAGAGTACAGTATATCCAGACTTGTGTTGTGAATTAGGGTAATGTGTCTGATTAAGGTCATGCCCCCCCCAAAAAATAGAAAATCACCTTGAGAAAAAAATGGCCATGTTAGTGTTTTTCTGTCCTGTCACTTGATTTTATTGACCTTGTGTTTATTTTATTGGTATTTTATTACTGTATTATGAACTCGTAGCTTCTTCATACAGTACTTAACATCTCTCTGTTGATTCTTGTCAGAGAAAATGGAATAACGTGGCCTCGCATCAAGGACCAAGTGGAGCACCTGGGTAAACATAATAATGTTAATCTGGAATGTTACCTCAGGGAAGTGTGGGAAGTGGCTCGACAGGTGAGACTCATCACTACACAAGCATATTACTTTTTCAATTTGTATTACATTTTCGATCTGTTTCATTATTTTCCTTTTTGATGATTTATAAAAGCTGCTTGTACCATATCCTTTACTTCATGTGCAGTATTGTGTGGGCCAGTTTTGCATTAGAATAACAAGTTGCCGACAATAGGTCGCTCCGGAGCTTGATACCCGGGATGAAGCAGCCACACTGCTCTTCACCCTATCTCACGACCGCAGTGTCCTCACTGTCAAGCAGAGGCTGAAGCTACGGCAAATGTTGGGCGATGTCAAACCTCTTCTGCTGGAGAGGGCTCACAAGGTCGGTGCAGGAGGTGACTCTTTTTAAGTACTGTATTTGGAATGAGTTTTTTTATATAGTTGTCTGTTTAGTTTTTTTTTTCTCAATCCATTTATCCATTCATCAACCAGACCCTGCTGTCAGGATGTGTGTCTGAGGTTTATCACCAGACAACTGACTGTGTCACCCTCTGCTTCAAAACCCTCCCTCTTTTTTTTTTATTAAGAAGAGAATTAAATGCTACAGAACTTTGGAATTATATTAGAGTAATAGGATGCCTTACGTTAGTTTATATGTTGCTAGAAATTGAAACACCTGAAACGTTTCACAGGTTTCACAATACACTGTACCCTCGCTAATTTGGATTGTTATAATTCGGATTTCGGCTTAATTCGTATGTTTTTTTCAAAAATGAATTAAACATTTTTAATTCGGAATGAATCCGAAACAACCAAGAGGTTCCAAAAAGTTGGGCAGCGACGGGCTTGAAATTTCAGTTTCGTCAATTTAACTGCTCTAGTGGCTCCCTAAGCAGGCTTGGGTCAGGTGTCATCCTACTTGGATGATCGTGTTTTCTGTGCGGTGTCTGCCATCTGGCTGGAACGATTATTATAGGAATATATTATGAAGTAGATTAAGATAAATGAATATTAAGAATAAAATTAGAATTATATAACTTTTCAAAACTACGTTTGGGTGCATAACCAGGAAGAGGAGGTGTGGGTGGTGGACGAGAAGGGAGGGAGTGTTGGTTAGACAGAGCAGCGAGAGGATAACTCGCCTCCCGCACTCATCAGCCCGCGATTCCTTTATAACAAAAGAATGCAAATTCACCATAATTCCCATATTCTTTAGGTCCAGTTGGTGCCGGTTTAATAAAATATAAAAACAAATTATTAATTTTTCCCCAAAAATAACACTCAATCCCAGATGAGTTATTGTGCCGTAGTATATTCCCAGTCTCTTCTTTACACTGGTAACAGATAATCATTCCTGCTCTCCCTAACATTGTTGCCAGCATTCACCATCTCTCAAGCACTGTTGTCACTGCTCAAGAGGGTTGGTGCTGACCACAGAGTCTGTCTTGAGCATTTAATAAATAATTTTGTACCATATTTATCAAAACCTAATAAACATTATTGTAGTGTATAATACATCTCCATATGCCTTGCTTTATTCACTGATTAGTTGTCCAAGTGCAAAAGTAGCCAAATTGAGCCATATATATCAATTAATTTTAAAATAGAAAGTATAAATTAAAACGTTAAAAGACAATGGTTTAGTAGTTCTGTTAATGTGTGTAGTGCCTCGTCACCTCACCTCACCACTCATCTCGTCTCCTTACCCCTCACCCTGTCACCTCACCTCTCGCCTCGCAGTGTTACATTTATTTATTATTATTATTTACTTTATTATTGTTGTATTGTATGTAGATTATTTAATGTGGCAGGCAAGGCAAGGTGCAAAAACTGAAAAACAAACAAACAAATAAGTGAACAGAAATTTGGAAATTGTCAAATAATGTCAAAATATTCTGAACTCGGTGAATTTGGATTTTTCGGTATTTTGAATGAACCAGAGCCCTTTTTTGGTCGAATTAATGAGAGTACAGTGTACAAGATATGAAAAACCTTTGTACAGTAGAAGTCCAAAAATCCGGACAGCTTGGGGATTGGGTCGGTCCGGATTTTTGGATTTTCCGGATTCTCAGGCAGTACTTTTAAATTCAAATTTAAGGAGGAATAAAGAAGAGATGAATAGGTACATTTTGATAGTTTATTATTAGCAAATATAGCATGCTTCATTTATCAAAACGAGCAGTTTTAAAGAAAAAGCTGTGAATTCTAGAATTTTATTCTTTGCCTTTTTTATATCATAAATTGTAGACTTTCTAATGTCATATGTTTCCATTAGAAAAGTATTACTCACACCACGTTCTAGTTTCTTAATTATTTCAAGTTTGTCACTCAATTTCAACGTGTTCTTCTTTCTCTTCACACAATGAAGTTTATCTACTTTAGGAGCCATTTTTATGGGTTTGTACAGTACAATGTAAATGGAAAGAGTAGGATTGAAAATTACATATGTTGTCACAGTTTGATTACTCATTTTAAAGTGGCGACCGCGTGGTCGCTTGTTGTTGCTGTGCAGCTGTGGCGCTCATGCATGCGCACATACACACAAAAGCCAGCTAAAAAAAAAAAAGTCCGGATTCTCGCGTGGTCCGGATTTCTGGCAACCGGATTTTTGGACTTTTACTGTATTTGAATATATAGTTTACATGTTACCGGTAAAGTGTGAAAATCGGGCATTGTGTGAAATGCCTAGGCAATATATACAATGCTGGGTTTGTATTAGGCAAAGTCTGAAATTTTTTTTTTAATCTGATATTTCATACAGTAAACACTTGATAGCTCAGCACATATGGGGCTCTGGTCTTGCTGAGTTATCCCAAATTATGACTTATTGAGGCACTTTCCCCCTCCTACAAAAATACAACAATAAAAGATTATCGACCCATACTTGTAATTACTAAATGTAAAAAAGTAACAATAACAGCACTGCAAATGAAGAATGAAGCATGTATGGTAGGTGACACAGATGCATGGTAGGTGGCAGAGGTATGGTAGGTGACAGAGATATGGTAGGTGACACAGATGCATGGTAGGTGACACAGAGGTATGGTTGGTGACACAGAGGTATGGTAGGTGACACATGCATGGTAGGTGACACAGAGGTATGGTTGGTGACACAGAGGTATGGCAGGTGACACAGATGCATGGTAGGTGACACAGAGGTATGGTAGGTGACACAGATGCATGGTAGGTGACACAGAGGTATGGTAGGTGACAGAGATATGGTAGGTGACACAGGTAGGTGACAGGTATGGTAGGTGACACAGGTAGCACAGAGCATGGTAGGTGACACAGAGATAGGTGGTGACACAGAGGTATGGTAGGTGACACAGAGGTAGGTGATATGGTGACACAGATGCATGGTAGGTGACACACAGAGGTATGGTGGGTGACACAGGTATGGTAGGTGACACAGATGCATGGTAGGTGACACAGAGGTATGGTAGGTGACACAGAGGGTATAGTGGTAGATGCATGGTGACACAGAGGTATGGTAGGTGACACATGACACAGAGGTATGGTAGGTGACACAGAGGCATGGTAGGTGACACAGATGCTGGTAGGTGACACAGAGGTATGGCAGGTGACACAGATGCATGGTAGGTGACACAGATGCATGGCTGGTGACACAGAGGTACAGAGGTGACACAGATGCATGGTAGGTGACACAGAGGTATGGTAGGCAGGGGACACAGACACAGAAGATACAGAGGTGGGTGACACAGATGCATGGTAGGGGTGACAGGCTGGTAGTGGTATGGTGATGGACAGAGGTGTGGCAGGTGACACAGAGGTATAGGTGACACAGATGCATGGTAGGTGACAGAGGCATGGTAGGTGACACAGAGGTATGGTAGGTGACACAGATGCATGGTAGGTGACACAGAGGCATGGTAGGTGACACAGAGGCATGGTAGGTGACACAGAGGCATGGTTGGTGACACAGAGGTATGGTAGGTGACACAGATGCATGGTAGGTGACACAGAGGTATGGTAGGTGACACAGATGCATGGTTGGTGACACAGAGGTATGGTAGGTGACACAGATGCATGGTAGGTGACACGGGTATGGGAGGTGACACATGTTAATACGCATTGTTTATTGGAAAAATAAACAATGTGTGAAATGACACATTGTTTCATGTAACCTAACCTTAGGTCTTGTTTCACACATTGCATAAAATAAACCCAGCAATGAGAATAAACATGTACTGTATAAACAGGTCTCATTTCACACATTGTCTAAAACAAACCTGGTATTGCATAGAATGCCTAGGCATTTCATACAATGCTTGGATTTCACACTTTACCAGTAACATATACAATATTCAATTGTATTATAATTTATATTTACTTGTTTAAACAGTTATCTACAATTCATTTTTCATCTTTTCAGGCAGTTCGTAATATTGCTGACTTAGTGAGTGAGGAGGACCTAGTGGAACTGATGAACAACCTTCATATACCTGAGAACACATCAACCATGTTTGGGGCAAATATTAAGGTAGGAGGGTAGGGCAAGTGTTTTATACTACTTAAATCTACAAAAAGAAAACTACTTTTTTGTGGGAATAATCAAAATGTATAAAATATTAGGATGAATTGTCTCAGCAGTCATGAACAATAGAGAAAGTAAAGGCTAGAGGTAAAGGGGAAGGAACATAGAAGGAAAGAAAAAAAGGTAGCGAGGGATGCAATAAATGATAATTAAGTGTAACGACTGGAGTTTTAGGTCTTGAAGTGAACCACCTACAAGTTGTCTGTACTGTACTGTACTGTGAGTGTGACCAAGAAACAGTGGTCTGGCAGCCAACCTTTCCCATCTGTACCTTCATGTTATATGTTTTTTAATGATGTATTAACTCTTTGCTGTGAAAGATTGGCCCCCTGGCCCAGACACCAGAACTTCTGCCAATGGATAAGCTGCTGGACCTGACCAAAGTGAAGGTGGTCTCTCAGGCAACTCTCAACTATGATGACTATAAACCTGAGCCAGTGGAAGTGCAAGTCAAGAAAAAGGTTTCTAATTTTATGGTTTTATTTTTGGTCTGTTAACATTACTACAGTACACTCCTTTGTGTGTGATGGTACAAACGTTATTTACTTTATGAGAAAGTAAACTAAGTCTGTGTCATTAGCTCTTCATTAGTGGGTGACCCTTAGGTATATGTGGTGTTGAAGTAAAACAAGATTAATTTACTTAAACAGTTGTTTCATTACTATTTAATTATTTACTGATTATATTTGTTAGGTTCGTCTCTTTCTCTCACAACAGTTTTATCAACTTTGAAGGTTTCACTATGCTCTATGTATTTATTTACCAAGCAAGTTCTCATTTTGTCAGTCAACTTATGTCGAGACAATTTTGTAGCTCCGGTGTGTCAGGTAGTGGAAGGCAGCACCCATCTGCTTCATAGTCTTCACTATTACTATTTTCTCAATGGTTTCAGGCATCCAAAGAGATTTATGATAAGTCATGGATTGAGATGGAGATGCTGAAATATTATACAGACATAAGCATAGTGGCAGAACTGAGCAAAGGCACCCTCACTCTCCTGGTCAGCAGTAAGGGTGATGATGAACTGCAGAATGACGTAAGACATGCCACATCCTTACAGTAGTTACTTCTTTATTCCTCCCAAATAAAATTGAAAAACAAATGAGAATTTTTTTTAATATCTTGTTTATCGTGTTTTTATACTTTTTGCGTTAATTTGTATAATTTAGGTTACAGTTAATGCACACCTTCTTGTATAGTACTTTACATCAATTACTATGAACCATACAGTACTGTACAGTAAACCCTCTCATTAACAGACATTTCATTACTGAATATTCTCTATAACAGAATTCTCCCAATATCGGACAGGGCTTGCAAGAATTAGTCCAATAATGGGAGGGTTTACTGTACACCCCCACCCCCCCAGCCTGATGTATTTTCAAATGAACACAATTACACGTGCGTGCACAGCAGTATTGGTTTGGTTGGTACAGGTTGACAATCCCTTATCCGAAATCCTTGGGACCAGATGCATTTCGGTTTTTTGGAATTTTTCGGATTTCAGAATGGTTAGGTTTTTTTTTTTACAGGGATCAGCCCATCCGGGCACAGGCCACTGACCCACATTGGGGCCTGGGAGCTAAAATATAATAATAATAATTATAATAATAATAATAATAATAATAATAATAATAATAATAATTCCTAGGTCTAGGTCATGTTTCTCACTTTTGATCTTTTTTTCATTCTTGCATTTCTTTATTATTATTTCATTATTACAGTATTATTGTTATTATTATTATTATTATTATTATTGTTATCATTCTTATTTTAATTTGTGTATTTTTTATTAAAAATTTTATTTACAATGAATAATTATTATTATTACTGTATTATCATTATTATTATTACCTGTATTATTATAATTATTATTAATATTACATTTTCGCCACCCAGGCCCCGATGTGGGTCAGTGACCTGTGCCCTGGTGGGGGAAAAAAAAAATTGCTCCACAAATTGTTTTTTTTCGGTATTGGGAATTTCGGATAAAGGGTTGTCAACCTGTATTTCTGGTTGTTAGTTTTGTTCTTTTTTCTTGCATCTGAAAATCATTTTATTACAGTAAAGCCTCAAATAATGATGGTAATGTGTCCTCCAATATTGCAGTGCAAAGTGAATCATCATATCGCAAATCATTAATTACCATTAAAATAAAGCAATAATAATGAGATGCGTTCCATAGTGTGACCTTTTCATATCTTTTGTCTGGCTTTTTACCCTCTTTTTCCCCCAAAACAGTAGAATTAATGAAAATTGCAAACTATATTTTTTAAATAATGTTTCTGAATGCACCTTATACAATATAAATGAATAATGATATGATCACACAAGAGGAGATGGGACGCCATTGTTTTCGTTTGTGTTTACATCCGTAGTCTGGGACGATAGTTCTACACGAGAAAGTGAAGAAAATAAGACCCTGGTTGTAGCTGGAGTAAAGTTAATGTAAAAAAAAAAAATGAATATATATGTTTTAAGTAATGTTATTTAATGTTAATAAATGGAACAATAGAAGCAGCTAACCACTAATGGTAAAGAAAAAAAAGGTGAGATGGATTGGGAACGCCAAAAAATACAGTCGACCCTGGTTAATTTGGATCCCTTTAATCTGGATTTCGGATAAATTGGACCCCAATTTTTTTGGCAAAAAATTGGGGGCCGACCTCTAAACGGGTAATAGTTTCATTAGGTTGAAAAATAATTACCAGTAACTACCAGTAAACAATGGAAACGATGCCCCACCAGCTGTGAGTGTCGGTACAGTTGCCAGGGCAGATCTCTTGCGTCATCATAGCACGCCCAAAGTAGCCAAATGCATGGTATGGTAGCACAGTACGATGTAAAACATAAAGTATTCATTTTTAAAATTTATTTATAGATACATAAATTTTTTTTCATTACATTTGAAACAATCTTTGTTAATTAAATTTGAAACAAAAGAAAACTACGATACCGTATTTCTAAATACCGGTATTTTCATTAAAATATTACATCACAAGTACTGTATATTTTACCTTAACTGTGACTGAATGAATATATTCCCAGTAATAAATATGGAAATGTAATATTTTTGCTGAAATGATGTACGTATTACAGTGGAAAGTGGGATCAAATCATGACGAAAACAATGACTTTCGCTTTCTTTCATTGTTCAAAAGATTTTACCGTAATCGCTTTTTGAATGGTTTTCAGTTAAAAAACTGTTGTATTACAATAATATTCTATCCTAATTCACTTGAATAAATACTACGATACCATATTTATGAATATTTTCATTAAAATCCATCAAAATCATTTTCCTAGTCATCAGCACCAAACAGCTCCTCCCAGTCCTCTCCTTGAACAGCATCGTCATATGGATCAACACCATCATCAGCCATAGGATCAATATATTCATCCTCAATCACGCTCTCATTAGCCTCATAATCCCACAAGTCGTCTTCTGTTCCATCAAGAGCATTCGAAATCCCACATTTCTTAAAAGATTTCACCACAATTTCTGGTCTGATTGCGACCAGGGCTCTGCCGTATCAGCTAGACGGTACACGTGTTTTTCAAATCGTTTTCAGTTAAACTGTTGCATCACAAATGAATTAGGATAGAATATTATTGTAATACAAAAGTTTTTTAAATGAAAACCATTCGAAAAGCGATTACCGTAACCTCTTTTGAACAACGAAAGAAAGCGAAAGTCATTGCTTTCGTCACGATTTTATCCCACTTTCCACTGTAATACGTACGTCATTTCAGCAAAAATATTACATTTCCATATTCTCAGAAATAAATAGTAGTTTTACTGAAACGTAATGTATTTCAATGTAAATTAGGATAAACTACATGACGAAAACCAAAGACTTTACCTAACCTTCCGATATTCAAGATATGTTACTCGTTTTTTTAATAGTTTTTGGTTAAAATACTGTTATATTAGTGGTATTCTATTCATACTGTGCTTGATATAATACATTCACGGAAATGTAATATTATTGCTGAAATGACGTACATATTACAGTGGAAAGTGGGATAAAATCGTGACGAAAGCAATGACTTCAGCTTTCTTTCGTTCAAAAGATGTTACGTACGTTTTACTAAAAATAACATCTTTACTTTATGATGGTATTCACCCACACATAATATAGAAAGGAACAGTCAATAAACTGAAGGTTAGGTTAGAAAAAAACAAGGTTGGGGTTAACACTTACGTTAGTAGAAGAGATGGGTTGGCGTACGGGAATGGAGGCTGGTTCTGAGGCAGAGGGCAGGCTACTGGCCCTCAGGTGAGTCACCATCACTGTCATCCACACTTGTCAGGGCCTCCCTGACAAATCCCTCAAAGTCATCACTGTCTCTACCTCTGTCACTATCACTGGCTTGGGCTGGCTGTGGTGGGTTGCGGGCGAAGAACTCTGTTATGCTTTGCTGACGGCTGGTGTTTATGTTGTCGTGATAAACCTTGATGTAGGGCTCCATAGTCTGCAACAGCTGGGTAGTGAAGATTTCATACCTGTTTGCGTCAGGGTCGTCGGAAAGGAGGAGCTTGACTTTCTCGATACACTCGATGGCACCCCTAACATTACTATGGGATAAGCGGCGTTCTTCTTGGGATGACGCACCACCTGCCTCTTCACTGACGTCATCATCATCATCTACCATCTCGTCGGTAGTCACATCAGGATCCCTTATCACCTCCAGGATGTCGTCGTTGGTGGTCTCGGAGAAGCCTGCAGTTGTAACACTCTGCGCAGCTTCTCTGGCAAGGTCCACTGCTACTGCAACAGTGAGCCTCACCAGTCACAGATTGACTCTGCCTAACTGCCGGAATGCCTTGCAACACATGTCTCCATGCGTGACGAACAGTTGCTACAGACAGCTGATCCCATGCCCCCACCAAGAAGTCCACAGCTTTCTTGATGTTGAATATTCTCCAGAATTGTTTTAAAAGTACTTGTTGCTCTGCCAACTGTTGATCCTTGTCGTCTTCGCTCTTGCTATCGGTGGTGGTGTCACTCAGGTTACGCAACTCTTCCCTGGTGTTGGTGTAGTCGTTCAGGAGCTTGAATTTTAGTAGAGAATGCAGCTTTTACATTACAGATTAACTCTTGGTCCATGGGCTGTAATATAGACGTAGTGTTGGGAGGAAGGAAGACCACTTTTACGTTGGGGTGACGATCTAACAGTAGGGGCGAGTGTCCTGGTGCGTTGTCCAGCAGCAACAAAATCTTGAATGGCACATTCTGTTGCTCACAGAATTTCTTCACATTGGGAACGAAACAGTCATCAAACCAGGAGAGGGACAGTGTAGAGAACATCCACGCCTTATGTGCAGTCAGCCAGTGGACATTTAGCTTGGTAATGTCCATGCTCTTGTAGGCGTGCGGCTTGCGTGCTGTGTGGATCACCGATAACTTGAGCTTACAGGTACTGGAGGCATTGGTGGTAAACAGGACGGTGATGCGCTCCTTCTGCAACTTCCGGCCCCGAATCTTGCTGGCATTCTTCACAACGAAGGTTTTGTAAGGTAGCTTTTTCCAAAAAAGACCAGATTCATCCATGTTAAACACCTGGTTGTCGGTATACTGTCCTTCCTCCATAATCTCACGTAAAAACGGGGGAAATTCCCTAGCTGCAACACGGTCAGCACTAGCTTCTTCACCACCAATGTTGATATTGGTGATCTTGTTCCTCTTCTTAAACCTCTGTAACCACCCAGAGGAAGCGTTAAAGGGTTTGGGCTCTGTAATTCCCATCTTTCGTGACACTGCAGCATACAGTTCACGTGCGTACTCCTTAACTGAGCGCGTGTCCACTGCCATGTTCCGTCGCGCCTGTCGCACCAAGTAGCTCACAAGTAATTTTTCCGTCTTGAGAAGCACCTGGTTGTGGAAATACTTGATCATGGAAGCACCTGTAGACTTTGTGATGTTCATGTGCTCCTTTATCTTGGCTGCATCCTTCTTAATTGTCCTGATCGTAGACTCGTTAACACCATGCTGGCGCGCGAGATCAACCTGTCTTGTTCCTTTCTCCAACTCTTGTATGATCTTATACTTAATTTCGTAGCTTAAGGAACGTCGTGTCTTCTTTGGCTTAGGGCGGCTGGGTCCAGGTAAGGAAAGGTTTCTCTCTGGGGGCGGTGGTCCGGCGGAAGCCATTTTACAGAACAATGGATGCACGATTACACGGTGTGGCCTGGAGGGATGAAACTGCCGCGGCTAGGTCAAGCGTCGTCTTTCCCTCCCTCCCTCCCCCGGGTGGACACGTCATATTACTTTAAACCAATTACAGCTAGCAGCGGAGGGAGGTAGGGATGCATGGCCAATCACAGTCCGATACGTCATATGACGTCACTGATAACGCAACAGAGACATGCACTGCGCAACCTTACCGCACGGCTTGCCCAGGCGAAGGCGGGAGGGGCGAATCTAAAAATAGCGTCGAGCCAGACACTCTCCGCGTAAAGGGGTACACGCACCGCAGAATGTGAGCATTCCGGTTTTGGCAGGGTACCGCGTAAACGTGGAACGCGGGACCACGTAAAGCTAGGGTTGACTGTGTATATATATATATATATATATATATATATATATATATATATATATATATATATATATATATATATATATATATATATATATATATATATATATATATATATATATATTTCATGATAAATGAAAATGGAAACAACGGAGTACCTTAGCTTTCGTCTTTATTCAAGACATCTTCAGAGGCAACTGGATTACATGGACAGAGAGAGGCTTAAATATACAGGGTGACCTAAAAACATGAGGTCAGGTCATAATGATGACATCCACTAATCCCCACACCAACACACACGTAGAGGAGCTTAAGAGAAGGGTGGTGACGTGACTAGCCAGGTCAGGTCAGAAAAAAGGGACCCACAAAATAACTATCATACATCTAGATCAAAGGTTTTCAAAGCATTTTTAACCTTGGGCCACTGACAAATAAATTTATGTAACATATCAGTTTTGAACTGACCATCACTAAGGTTTATTGATTTTAATTCCTTAATCAAACTAGCTTCAACCAGAAGTCTTTCTGTGACACAAGATGATTTGAATACTTCTAAGCTTTTTTCCCAAGCAATGGGGTGATTATTATTCCTAACATGAACGAACAAGGCACTGCTTTCAGATGCAGTTCTGATATTATACTTATGTTGTTTGATTCTGAGCTGCAGTGTTTTTCCTGTCTGACCTACATAATTACAATTACATTTGCTACATGGAATACAATAAACACTTCCATTTACATTCAAACTTGGGCTATTCCTTATTAAGGAATAGCCCAAGTTTGAATGATCGTTATAGTGATTGAGGGGAATTTTAGGAGTGTTTTTGACTTTATGCATTTTTTGGCTTTACTTTGTACTGTATCTACTTTTCTGTGAGCTGGAACCAATTACCCAATATCCCATTGAAATAATGGATTCAGTTAAGGAACGACTCTGTGGAATGAATTGTGTTCGTTAACCGAGGGACCACTGTATTTTTTAATTTTGTCATGAATACAAAGAAAATAATGGCATCAATTTAATTGGGTCCTAAATTAACCAGGGTCTTAGATATTAATCTTCGTTAGCTGAACCGTCGTTATTGGAGGCTTTACTGTATCTGCCCCCCCCCCCCCTTTTTTTTTCAGGGAACAGCTCACCTGGGCATAGGTCATCCACCCACAATGGGGCCTAGGAGACGAAAAAATGAGATTAAAAAGAAATGAAAAATAGGAAAGAAAAAGGTTATATTAATCTATGCCACAAAGATGCCGGAAAACCAGCTTTTTGAAGAGACAGATTGTATGAGTATGGAAACACAGAAGAAGGCAGAACATTCCACAGTTTGGCTGTGTGAGGAAAGAAGGAGGTACTATAACGGGTTATTCTAGTGTGACCGACATTCACAAAGAAATTGTTGGCACCGTGGGCAAGTCGGGTGTTACGAGCCCACAGCCTTGCCGGCGGTAAACAGGATGCCAAATCCATCGAACATTACCTGTTAAAGTACCTGTAAAAGAGAGAGAGTGAAGCAACATTGCAGCCAAGAGAAAGGGAAGAAAGATTATCAACACAAGGCAGTATCATCGCCCTTTGCGACATAGGCCTAAGCAATGAGGAGATAGCTAACAAAGGTTGATTTATAGCTACACTATTATTCGGAAAGTGACATTTCTCCGTGTCTGTCAGTGCAAGCTGTGTTTTCCAATGATTCTCAGGTACTATTGTTGATCATGGATTTTCAACAGAAAACACGCACTATTTGTTTGCTGTTGATATATTTTCGCTACATTAATATCATTACATTATTTTACTAATGATGGAGCACAGTGATTCACCATAATTACAAATGCCAGAAATAAGAACTGTCACCCTCACAGATACTAGGAAGGCAGGTTTATCAACATAATGCAGGAAACAATTAGTGATCAGAAATATTCGTCCTTTGTGACACATCGTATCGATAAGAAAGGGGGCTGATACTTTTTTTGGAGAGTGTACATACCATAGTTCTCACTAGGATATTGATATCCAGTATAATCTTCAAGGTCACGATAATATTCATAGTCTTGTGTACTACTACTTTCAAGTTTATATTCATGATTTTCCTTTTGCCTTTGTTGAAGATATTTGTAAGACTTTCAGGGCAATTATATGATAAAAAAAAACTGCTGTATAGTACTGTACTTGTGATGCTTGGATACAAGTGTGGAAAGTGGACATAAAATATTGATCATGAAATGTCGATGATAAATACTTAATTTATTTATTTATTTTTGTTTCATTAGATGTATACGGTATTTTTATTTGCAGTATTTTAGTTCTATACAGAGTGCCATGTGTGTATGTTGCAATTACCAAGAATTAGGATCCCCTATCTTATAGTTGTCTTTCCTAGCTTTTTTTTTTTTTCCACTGGTCCTATACTGTCAATATCCTCTTATATTTTATGATAATTTCTATTTAGTGAGCAGAAATAAGATAAGACAAATGTGTTCTCCACAGACAACTCTGATCCTCTTACAGATGTTTGACCTTCTTGGGTTTGAGAGGTTTGAACTTATCCAGACATTACTTAAGCACAGACAAGAGATCAAGAATCCTCCGCCTCATAAAGACTTGAAGATTGCAGAGTTGTTGAGTAAGTATAATATTTTTATGATAATAATCTTTATTAAACTGTTATGATATTAAACTGTTATGAGGGAGAAATGACAGTGGATGAAAAATGTTCTCTGACAGACATCCTAATATATCATTTTCAATTTTAAGATATAATTCACCCCACATATTTGTAGTACAGTACAAGTGTGATGTAGTAAATTTCATTTGTCCTCTGGTAAATGAAACTTTATCATGACTATTTTCAGAAGATGTGGCTTTGCCATGTGAACCTTTTAGATGTTTTGTACAGCAGTTGTCATGGCCTGTTCACTGTAGTTCAGAAAATAGAATACCAGTTGATAATTTGTTTGTCAAAGCAAAAATCAGTACAGTACACACAACTACAGTAAGTCCTTGCCTATCATCGGGGTTACATTCCTAAAAATGCGACGTTAAATGAAACAACGTTAAGCGAATCAATTTTCCCCATAAGAAATATATAAAATACGGGAGTTACGTTCCTGAGCCTCCCTTTGCCCCATGAAAAACATTACATATACAGAAAATTATTGCCATTTATATAGAAAATAATGCATACATATACAACTACTAAGTTTGTATTGGAACTCACCGATGGGCGGAGGTGGTAGAGTGAGTGTGTGGTGGGTAGCGAAACGGAGGAGGAGGATGGCGGGAGCGGAGGAGGGGGGGCGGGAGAGGAAGAGTGTGATGAGTCACTGAGACTCTGCGGCTGCCTCCTTCTCCTGCTCTGACTGGGGTTCCTCCACCGCTGTTTGCTCCTCCTCGCTTGCAGACTGTTTTGAAAATGCTGCTTCTGCTGTCCTATGACGAAAAAATTAATTCAGCATTGACTGCTTGCTACTCTTCTTTTCATCCTTGTAGATCTCAATGTAACAGCCTAGACTGTCATCAATGCTGTGTTGAATCTTTGAGCTATGTTCTTTGTTTGGGTTGTCATCAATAAGGATTTGCATACCTTGCTGGATCATGTTGATCGTGTCTGCCATCCTCTTGGCAGTTGGCGTTCGTTGTGCAATTTCTTTGTCGTCATCTTCAACGGGACTGTGTTCTGTTAGCAGTTGCAGATCTTCATTAGTTAGTTACTTCTGTGTGGATCCCAGGACTTCCTCATTATCCTCTGATTCCAGCTCAACAAAACCTGCCTCTCTAGCCAAGCTGGGGGTATCCCTATTCACTGCTGGGACTAAATCCGTGAATCCTGTAAAACTGTTCACGCTCTCGGGCCACAATTTACGCAACACACCATTTAGGCAACTTTTTGAAACCTCTTGCCATGCCTTGCCAATGTTGTCAATTGCATGAAGAATGTTGAAGCCCTGCCAATATTCTCTGATTGTAGGTTTATTTTCTCCGTCTGTAGCCTTGAGCGGCTGGTCCATGGTACGACGTAAATAATACACCTTGAATGCTGCAATGACGCCTTGGTCCATAGGCTGCATCAGTGCTGTCATGTTGGGAGGCAGGAATACAACTTATACACTGTCATGCAAGTCGTTGAGATTGGGAGGATGAGCTGGAGCATTGTCAACGATCGGAAGAATTTTGAAGTCAAGGTTCTCCTTGGCACAGCATTCCTTCATTGCAGGGACGGCGTACATGTTTAACCACTGGCTAAATATGGTGCCGGTTATCCATGCCTTCTTGTTTGCATTGTAAATGACAGGAAGGTGATCCTTAGAGTAACCTTTCAAGGCAGCTTGAGAAATCAACATTCGCTTCAGCTTGAAGTCGCCGGCAGCGTTTGCGCCAAGCAGCAGTGTCAAGCGGTCTTTTGCCTCTTTAAAATCTGGCACTCTTTTCTCCTCCTTCGAGATATAGGTCCTCTCAGGCATCCTATTCCAAAAGAGACCAGTCTCATCCATATTGAAGACTTGCTTCGATGAGTAGCCTCCTTCCTGGATAATCCGTTTTAATTTTGGTGGGAATGTCTCGGCAGCAACCGTATCTGAACTGGCAACTTCACCAGTCATCTTAATATCGTGGAAGTTATACCTGCGCTTAAGCACACACGAATGATGTGAAGTCGTAACAGAGACTGGCTTGGCGTCGCTTGGGGACCATGTGACGTTCCGCGAGTGAGGGTAGCTAGCTCACCGAGCCGAGAGAGGGTGATGCACCGTAAAAAATAGTCTGTGATGATGCAAAGCGACGTTGTACCAAGTCATCGGGACGTTAAATGAATTTTTGGTATCTAAAGACTAGCGACTTAGTACCGAAACAATGTTAAGTGGGCCGACGTTATACGAGGACTTACTGTATTGTTGATTTAAAATGCTAATATGGGTTGTTATAATGCACCTCATATATGCTGTTAATGTTACCAGTAGAACATAAGGAAAATAATGTTCCTTCTTTATCTATCAGACGACCTTGAGAACCGAGGGATGCCCGAGCGTCCAGTGTTTGGTCAGCAAGTGACTGTTATGAATGAAACAGAGAAGCAGTTCCTCAAACAAGCTCGTAAAGAAGAGAAGAAGTTACTGAGGACGGCAAAACAGTTGGCGGTAGATGATAATGTGGAAGACTTCAGCCCTGAGACTCTGAAAGCTAAAAGGTGAAAATTATCTACACCGATCAATATTTTTCATTAACATTTAACTCCCATATATTATCTCTCCATATACAGTAGTTTTAGTTACTCTTCCTACTTTCTGTGAGAGCCATTAGTGGGACTCTGTGGCTTTTATTAACATGCTACTTATCATCTATAAAACATCCGTCCTTCCTCCACCTGGACCATCTCCCAGATACACTTGTGGTTACAGTATGAAACTTGTCTATCATCTGGTTTTGCTATTTGACAACCATTTTAAGCAGAGTACCAATAATCTTTCTCTCTTCTACACCTTACATCTAGATTCTCAGTTTAACTTTAGTGAGATAAGACTTAGGTTATTATATGGTTAACTTCATATAGTATAGTACTGATGTAGAACTTGCTCATAAACTACAAATTATTATACAGTATGTCTTGTGCCTTGTGTACTAAATAACATAATTGATGAATATAATTGTATATAATGTCCCATTCAGCGAAATTTCTCTTTAACGATGGTCATGAATTAAGACCATCTCGCTATATACAATAAAAAAATCACTGTAACAATATCCGTTGGTTGTAGTTTTTTTATCTCTAGTGAAAACTATGGGTTGTATATACCTGTACTCAAATTAATCACTGTCAGACAAGGATTCCGGCAATGCAAATTATATTTTTCTCTGTCAAGTCACTGATATTTTACAAGGAACAATATTTAATCCTATGCACCACCAAAGGGAACGCATCTCTCGCTGCACTTGTCAGCCATGGCAATATCTACCCGCATACCATCACACAGCCAACCCGCGCACTACAGTCCTGCTCTTGGTTCTTTGTTGATCGCGTCTGTTCGTGATTGCGTAGCTCCATGATTATCATTCAGTATCGTTGACTATATGTACAATGTACTTGTCAATGTTGTTTGTTTTTTCTTATAGTGAGAGGACAGCACTAACATTAGATTGAACTGTGTTACGACAACTATGAAGTGATATTTTCTGTTTTTTGTCACTAAAGTGTTTTGCCTCTCTTTTCGTGAACATGTGATCTGTGTTGGCTGCTATCATTGTGCATACTTTGTCATCGCTGTTTTTTTTTTCTTAGTTAAGTGCTTTCACTCTGTTTTAGTGACTGAAGTGAGAAGTACAGGTTAATAATACCTGTACAGTAAAGCCTCAAATAACAACAATAATGTGTCCTCCAATATTGCAATGTAAGGTGAATCATCGAATTGTGAATCATTAATTACCATTAAAATAAAGCAGCAATAATGAGATGTGTTCCCCAGTGTTACCTTTTCATAACTTTTGTTTGGCGAATAGGCGGACGTTTTTGGACTTCACCTGAGGCGCGCTGGCTGGACGTTCTGGAATGTTACCCGGGGCCTAAAGGTTAAATCATTTTTATGAATGCTCCTTATACAATATATATCAATAATAATATGGTCACGCTAGAAGAAACCGGATGCCATTGTTATTGTCAGTGTTTACACCCGTGATGACAGTTCTCCATCTGAATTTCTACATGTCAAGAACGAAACAGTCATCAAACCAGGAGAGGGACAGAGTAGAGAACATCCACGCCTTACGTGCGGTCAGCCAGTGGACATTTAGCTTGGTCATGTCCATGCTCTTGTAGGCGTGCGGCTTGCATGCTGTATGGATCACCGATAACTTGAGCTTACAGGTACCGGAGGCCTTGGTGGTAAACAGAACGATGATGCGCTCCTTCTGCATCTTCCGGCCCCGAATCTTGCTGGCATTCTTCACAACGAAGGTCTTGGAAGGTAGCTTTTTCCAAAAAAGACCAGATTCGTCCATGTTAAACACCTGGTCGTCGGTGTACTGTCCTTCCTCCATAATCTCACGTAAAAACGGAGGAAATTCCCTAGCCGCAACACGGTCAGCACGAGCTTCTTCACCACCAATGTTTATGTTGGTGATCTTGTTCCTCTTCTTAAATCTCTGCAACCACCCAGAGGAAGCATTGAAGGGTTTGGGCTTTGCAATTCCCATCTTACGTGACACTGCAGCATACAGTTCACGTGCGTACTCCTTAACTGAGCGCGTGTCCACCGCCATATTCCGTCACGCCTGACGAATCAAGTAGCTCACAAGTAATTTCTCCGTCTTGAGAGGCACCTGGTTGTGGCAATACTTGATCTTAGAAGCACCTGTAGACTTTGTGATGTTCATGTGCTCCTTTATCTTGGCTGCATCCTTCTTAATTGTCCTGATCGTAGACTCGATAACACAATGCGGGCGCGCGAGATCAACTTGTCTTGTTCCTTTCTCCAACTCTTGGATGATCTTGTATTTAATTTCGTAGCTTTGGGAACGTCGTATCTTCTTTGGCTTCGGCTGGCTGGGTCCAGGTAATGCAAGGTTTCTTTGTGGTGGTGGTCCAGTGGAAGCCATTCTTATGAACAATGGATACCGATATACTCGGTGTAGCCGGGAGGGGTGTAACTGACGCGGGTAGGTCAAGGGGGTTGAACGCTCCCGCGGCGGGGCATGTCATAGTACATTAAACCAATCACAGCTAGCGGGGGAGGGAGGTAAGGATGCTTGGCCCAATCACAGTCCGATACGTCATATGACGTCACTGATAACGCAACAAAGACATACACTGCACAACCTACTCGCGCCGCTTACCCAACATGGCGGGAGGTTTGAATCCATAAATGGCGCGGTGCGAGAGGACCGCCAGCCACTCTCCGCGTAAAGTGAGCATTCCGTGTTCGGCAGGGTACCGCGTAAACGTGGAAACGCGTAAAGTGAAACCGCGTAAAGCGGGGTTTTACTGTACAGTTGTACCCCACTTAACTCGGTCAATAAAACCCAGAGGGTACCGCGTTAAGTGAAAACCGCGTTAAGTGAACAACAGAATATATGGGATTAATTCCAATAGAAACCGGCCCGACCCCCAAACTCCACTTTTTGACGACACATAACTATGTTGTAGTAAAAATAACATCTTAATTTTATGATGGTACATGCACACAATTAATACTTAAGAGAAATAGAGAAATACAGTCGCCAAGTTAATGTCCATTCAAATAATGACTCCCTCCCTCCCCCTCTTCTCACACTACACTGCTGGCTCTTCCCTCTCTGAGAAATTTTTGGGGAAAACCACTAAATTTTAATAAATAATACCTCAAACTAAAGTTAGGATAATACAATTGACATTGCTGGATTCCTTGTAAGACCAGGAATATTTTGAATATAAATATCATATATTTTGCACAAAAGATAACATATTTACTCAAGAGTAAACATTATATCTAAAATTTGTATGTCTAATGCAAAATCTATGATGTTTATATTCAAAATGATCATCAAATTGTAATAATTCCAGCAATGTAAATTATATTCTGGCCGGATAATTTGTATGAATTTTATTTGCTAAATTAAAAGAAATTATACTTCACCCGTGTAAAGGGGTACACCCACCGCGGAATGTGAGCATCCTGGGTTCTGGCAGGGCACCGCGTAAACGTGGAAACGCGGAATGTGGGACCGCGTAAAGTGAGGGTTGACTGTATAAGAGAAATATCAATAATATTAGGTTTTTAATACTTACATTAGTAGAAGAGATGGCTGGGTACACGGGGATGGGAGGTTGGTTCCAAATTGGGTCCTAAATTAACCTGCGTTTTAAATATGAAACGTTAATAGAACTGCCATTATCGGAGGCTTTCCTGTGCTAAGGGAACAATAGTTCCCTTAGCCTCGAAGGGGATATGTGATGATGATCAGGTTTGTTCATGATTTTATGACTATAGGAATTATTTTGTCGTTGATACATGTGTATTTGGGCACTGGCTGGGAATGTATCCCATTGAACTCCATGTTATAATGATCCCGATCTATGACAATTTATGATATTTCACTTAGCGATGGGTTTTTTCAGGAACTTAACCCCATCGTTTATTGCATGGAGTTTACCTGTATACAGTGTGTATGTTCTTTCATCACTTGTGGGTCTACTGCTTCTTATTTGTCGGATGTGTTTTATGTTACATTTTAAGACAGCTTTTTTGTGTTAAATAATCATGGCATCTTATCTTGAAGAAAACAGTTAGTGATGTGGATGAAGTAACAGCTCATTATATTACCAGGGAAACAGCCTTACGCGAAGCATCTCAAGCTTATCTCTTCAAAAAGCGTGACCGTGTTTACACCCCAGAAGTGAAGTATCCCTTCGTGTTTGACAACCACGACAAAGCCAAACAAACTGCAGGTAAGATGTTTCTTATGAATTTGTACCTGTCTTTCCTGTCAGACTCCTTGGAGATAATATTTGAACTTGAACCCATTGAATGTCTGTCTATCAGATACCAGCGAACACTAATTGCACATAAGGTAGTTGAAAAAGTTTGGGGATAATTATTGTCAACTAACATCCTCATCCTATATTTTTGGAGAAATTCATTTTAACAGGTTCAAAATCCCTAATTTAAGTAACAAGATACATCTCATACCATTACAAGAAGTAGCTGTGGGATCTTATGTACAGTAAAGGATTATGTCTAATCTGACATCCCACATAGCTGTAATTAATTCAACTTGGAGTGTTTTTTGACAGGTTTTATCGCAGGCATAAAAATAGCTTTGCCTGAGGGATTCACCCGGACCACAGACAGCATGAAAGAGGAGGTGGAGATTCCTGTGTCTGAGCAGCCACCTCAGGATGTTGGGGCCAAGCTCTTCCCTGTCTGTGAGCTAGACAAGGTAGATAAGATGTGTGTGTGTGTGTGTGTGTGTATTGTGTGCTTTATTCTGCCTCAGGGATCATGTTAGCACTTTTTGATATACCTGTACTGTAGTGAGATTAGTTACTGTACATACAAGGGTTGACAAAAGTAAAATGGTGTGTTGCCAAGGTCATGGAAAAACTAATACCCGATGAAAACCACCATTTGGTAATGAAAGAAGTGTGTTTGAATGTTGAATATCTTTCATTATGGCAATATTGAAAAATGCAGACATCATAAATAAACACATTAAAGCTCCATAACCAGTATATAGTCAATCTTCTTTCATTTATTATCTTTGGAAAGATTGGTCAAATGGCCTTCAAGGGATGCAAGACTCTGAACCGTATCCAAACAGTGGTGTACCCTGTTGCTTACCACACTAATGAAAACCTTCTCATCTGTGCCCCAACTGGAGCTGGTAAGACAAATATTGCTATGCTCACTGTGGTGCATCAGATCAGGCAGCACATAGAGTCTGGTGTGATTCAGAAAGATAAGTTTAAGGTTAGTATTGTCATCTTTATTCTCTAATGACTTCTTCTTTTATGTGAACTTAATGACAACGATGGTACTGTAATATGAACCAATGACTCGTAATATTAATGAGAAATAATATGTTCTTTTAGTTTATGTTTCTACTTTCACTCAGGTTGTGTACATTGCCCCTATGAAAGCTTTGGCAGCTGAGATGGCACGTAATTTTGGCAAGCGACTGGAGCCCCTGGGACTAACAGTACGAGAGTTGACAGGAGACATGCACCTCACCAAGCCGGAGATCATGGCCACAAACATGATTATTACCACACCAGAGAAGTGGGACGTCACCACACGTAAACCTGGTGAGTTCCCCTCAGTGTAACCTGTCTACATCTACTACTTCACTTACACTCTACAGTAATATCATTTATTTTTCCTGGTAGATGACACAAACAGTTTATTGTTTCCTAACAGTTTAGTTTATGCCTCACTCAATTCTGTTAAGCTCTTATGATAACTTTGCCCAGTTATATCCTCTAAAGGATGGCACAGTATAACACAAAAAGGCTTTGAATGTTTTGTTATGTTAGCCTTGTCCCACACTCTGTTCTATTGTATATGTCTCAGTTTTGTAGTGATTGAAAAAGAGATTACTGTGTCAAGCTTCAGTAAACAGTTAACAGAACTTTATATTAGTATTGGTCATGATGTTTCTTATAATGACAGGTGATACTCAGCTCTCCCAGTTGGTCAAGTTGCTGATCATTGATGAGGTTCACCTCCTGCATGGTGATCGAGGCCCAGTGCTGGAGACTCTTGTAGCTCGTACTTTACGCATGGTAAAGTTTATTGTTGTCGTTAACTTGTTGATAATAATGTTTGATGTGTGGACCTTATATTTTCTATTACCGTAGCTGTTTTATCTTTTATATAAAATTATAACCTCTTCACTTGCTGCATCAACCCTAACCACATCATCTTAACCATGATATAGTTGAGACCATTCACACTTTTAGCCCCTATGAAACATATGATACCCCACAAGTTTTCACCTAAAGCTTCACTCTTCAGCTTAACTGGTCTGAAGTTTCACCATCCCAAAATTATCTGGAAGGCTAATATTCATGTGATCCATAAAGGCTGAAATTGTGAATGGTGTAGTTCGTGGTCTTGACTACACCATCAGTGACAACATTGTTTAACTCAAATTTTTGTTTGTTTGCCTCAAATTCACATTTCTCTTTTTCTGATTTGCTGTGTCTGCCACTTATGTATGTCTGCTGAGTCATCTTATTCCTGACTACATGTTAAGTAATAATCATTTTTTCTTTTAGTTAATGTAACGTGTAAAGCTGGTAGAATATATGGACACAATGATCATGAATAATGGTTATTACCAGAGAGAACAAGGTGTCTAATAATTCTAACTTAGGATGTATTTAACCTTTAATAGCCAGCAACGTATTCCCCATTTTCCTCGTACATGCAACCATGGCACACAAGGAAAATGAAACTTCCTCAGATGATGGCCACTATCCCTATTGCTAACTTATTCAGATGATGGCAGCTATTAAGGAGTTAAGCTACTTTCAGAAAAACTTCATTTAAAAATAGAAGGAATTATTTTTTCCAGGAAGAGGGTGAAATTGTTAACAGTCTTTTATGGAGTTTGAGAAGATATTTTATGACTCTCTTGTGTCGAACACATGATGATGCTCTGGATTGTTTATAACATTTTATCCATGGCTCACTTATAACACTCTTGACTCACAACCTATGAGACGGATTAGTGGCTCATTTTTACTGCTTATAGTTAGTACAGTACAGTGGTCCTTCGGTTAACGAGCACAATCCGTTCCAGCAGGTTGCTCGTTAACCGAAACCATTGTTTCAATGAATTTTTGGGTAATTGATTCCAGCTCACCGAAAATTGCCTAAATTCAACAAAAAAGGTAGAAAAATACACTTACTTTGAGGTGTGTATGTAGAAGGCTCCTGGATGATGATGAGAATTAGAATGGGGGTGGAGGAGAAAGGAGAAGAGAAGGCATTGGGGTGGAAGAGAAGTCACCCCATGGCGCCATTTCACCCATAAAATTTTAGTTCTCTTGGTGTAATTCAAGATTATTTTCCTGAAATCAACACTGTACTGCATTATATAATGTCAATATGTAAATTAAATTTCAAAATGACCAATAATTTGCATGCAAACACAGAAAAAAGCATTTAGTTGAAGAGAGTCTCAAGCAAGAGGTTCCCTCCACTGAAAAGAGAGAGAGACTGGCGCCTGTTTGGTGTGTTGCCAGGCTGGATGGCGCGCATGAAACTAGTCACTTTACCTTCAATTAAGTTCAATAATTGTTAAAATGACTAAAAAATTTAATATTAAACTTTTAAAATTATTGAATAGTATAACTTCTTGATATTTACTAAAATAGTAAGGAATTTAAGCCCTAAAACCGATTACTGTATTGGCGGACTAATACTACAGCTGGACCGCCAAATGCAAGCGAAAACATGTTGAGGTCGACTCGTAAAAAACTCGTTAATCGAGGGATTGCTCGTTAACCGAAGTTAAGAATCTTATGGAAGGTAAATTATTAACCGAGGTGCTCATTTAACGAGGGATCACTGTATACTGTACTGTATATGTAGTGAGTAGGCCACCAACCACACCACTGTCTCTTGCCAAATTATGGGAAACCTACCCGGTAATGTTTTTTATCATGTATATTGCATGCAGTCTTTTCCATCACTTCATCTGTTGCTTAGTTTGATAATTATATTTAAAATGTTGCTCGTATGTTCTTTAGTTATATATTTCTCGGTGTGACAGAAATATTGAGTAATTACTATCAATTGCTCACTTAACATGTTGCCACTTTTTCTATAAGCCAGTTTTATTCACAACAGTTTGTAGATTTATGGGAGTGTTAAAAGTGGAAGCTTTACACTGTACTGTGTTTGAGTAGATGTTTGATGCTGTACTGACAGGTGGAGTCCCAGCAGTCCATGATAAGAATAGTGGGTCTCTCTGCTACTCTACCAAATTATATTGATGTAGCTTCTTTTCTTCGAGTGAATCCCTTCAAGGGCCTCTTCTATTTTGATGGGTAAGAGAGATTGTTTCTTGTTTTATTAAAGGCAGTACAGTACAGTGGATATAATAATGATGTCACACATTCATGATCACATAATGAAGGTCTAGCCATTAGCTGCCTCATGATACTGAACACTAAATGTTTATGGTGGAACATGTTGTATAGGAGTGTTGCCTTAAGTCATCACTGTCCACTGTGAATGAATTTGATAAAATTTATTTGATATTTCATTTTACCTTTTGTTTGTTAGAAAATATAGCAATAAATACATTGAATTGTTAAAATTATCAATGTCTGCAGGCGGTTCCGTCCAGTACCTCTCGGCCTGTCATTCATCGGAGTGAAAGCCATGGGGAGGTTCAAGCAGATGGAGGACATGGATAAAGTCACCTTTGATAAATGTCTCCATTTCCTGGAACGAGGTCACCAAGTGAGTCCTTTACTCACTGCATATTTTTTTTTTTTTTTGTGTGACTGACTGACTGACTGACTGACTTATTAGGGATGATGTTCCAATTAGACCTCTAACTGCAACTGAATTATATTTGGGCTTTATAAGGATAACGTTTTGCTATACTCTCTTCACTTTAGGGAATTTGTTAGTACTGTACAGTACTATATACAGGTACAGGTTGACAATCCTTTATCCGAAATTCCGAAAACCGAAAAGCTCTAAAAACCGAAAGTTTTTTTGTGGGGCTGCTTTTTTTTTTTCCCACAGGAATTATTAGCCCACCCAGTCACAGATCACTGACCCACATTGGGGCCTGGGGGGCAAAAATGTAATAGTAATAATAATTATTATAATAATAATTATTCATAGTAAATAAAATTTTTAATAAAAATACACCAAAATAAAATAATAATGATTATTGGACAATAATAATAATAATAATAATAATAATAATAATAATAATAATAATAATAATAATAATAAAGTCTAATAATAAAATTAATAATAATAATAACAATAATACTGTAATGATAAAATAATGATACAGTAAAGAAATACAAGAATGAAAAAAGATCAAAAGTGAGAAACACGACCTAGACCTATGAATTATTATTACTGTATTATTATTATTATTATAATTTTTATTATATTTTTGCCCCCCAGGCCCCAATGTGGGTCAGTGATCTATGCCTGGGTGGGCTAATACACATTATATATATTTAAAAAAAAAAAAAAAAAAAACTAACCATTCTGAAAACCGAAATGCCTCTGGCCCCAAGGATTTCTGATAAAGGATTGTCAACCTGTACAGTGAACCCTCACTTTACGCGGTCAATTGAACCCATGGAGGCCTGCGTAAAGTGAACAACATAACATATGGGATTAAATGAAATAGAGACCGGCTGACCCCCAAACTCCACTTTTTCCGACACAATACCTATGTTCTAGTAAAAATATCTTAATTTTATGATGGTACATGCACACAATTAATACTTAGGAGAAATAGAGAAATACAGTCGCCAAGTTAATGTCCATTTAAATAATGGACTCAACTCCCTCCCCCTCTTCTCACACTCCTGGCTCTTCCCTCTCTGAGAAATGTTTGGGGGAAAAACCATTAGATTTTAAGGTATAGTAATAAATAATACCTCAAACTAAAGTTAGGATAATATTATTGACATTGCTGGATTCCTTGTAAGACCAGGAATATTTTGAATATAAATGTCATATATTTTGCACGAAAGATAACATATTTACTCAGAGTAAACAAAATACTTGCATTAGATCTAAAATTTGTATGTCTAATGCAAAATCTATGATGTTTTTATTCAAAATGATCATCAAATTGTAAGAATTCCAGCAATGTAAATTATATTCTGACCGGGTAATTTGTATGAAATTTATGAGCTAAAACAAATATCTTCAGTTAATAAAAAAAAATATATTCTTCACAACACCATCTGTCAATCAAAGTACCCCACCTTGCCTTCCCCCCTCTTCCAACCGCGCCAGATGGTCGGTCGGTCCCTCCCTCCCCCCCATCCCCCACCAACCCTCCCTACCAGAGAAATGTGTGGGAGAAACCAGAATATTTACCTTTTTAGTAATAAATAATACCTCAGACTAAAGTTAGGGTAATATAATTGACATTGCTGGATATTTTGAATATACATTTCATATATTTTGCACGAAAGATAACATGTTTGCTCTGAGTAAACAAAATACTTGCATTAGATCTAAAATTTGTATGTCTAATGCAAAATCTATGATGCTTATATTCAAAATGATCATCAAATTGTAAGAATTCCAGCAATGTAAATTATATTCTGGCCGGATAATTTGTATGAATTTTATGAGCTAAATAAAAAAATTATACTTCACCCGCGTATATGAGTAGATGCACCGCGTAAAGTGGGAATTCCGGTTCTGGCAGGGTACCGCGTAAATGTAGAAACTCGTAAAGTGAAACCGCGTAAAGCGAGGGTTCACTGTATAGTAAAATTTACTGTGTTATATATTAATATTTTCATCATCATAAAATAACTATTGTACTCCAAAATTAAGTTAAGTTTGGTTAATAATGGTACCATTAGTACAGGTTGAACCTCAATTTAATGGCATTGGCAGGGTCTGAACCATGCCGTTACGTCCCTGACGAAACCATTGCATCAAGTTACCAAGGTTATCATATTCGTCATATTATTTTAGGTTAGAAATGGTGAATGTTTCGGAGATGGCATTGATATTTATACGGAGTAAGTTTTTGTTATAAAATCTAATGTTTTAACAAATAATTGTTTTCTCTACATATAATTCAAGCCCGAGAATTTAAATAAACAAGTAAACACGTACTTCCCACGGGACGTAAATCTCTCGGGATATTATAGCCTACCATATTAAAACCGTTTTCACTAATATTGTACAGAGCAAAGGAGTAAAAATTAAATACTCTAATATGCCTAAGAAATAAAGAAAATGTAATATAAAACTAGAAAATAAAAAAATCAGGTGCATGGGTGTGTATGTGTAGGAAGTGAACATGTGTGTTGAGGCAGTGATCACTAAGCTGTAACTGCATCTCCAATTGCCAGTCAGCAGTCTCCACCCACCTGGCTTTTCCCCCAGATATGACGACACAGCATATTGACACACACGTCTCGGAGTCAGCTGGTGACTGCCCAGCTGATTTGTGTCGCATGATGGCTCGATTTGGTTACTTTTGCACTTTGACAACTGATCAGTGAATAAACCATTATACTGTACACTACAATAATACAGGTATACTCTGAAAACCAACACCCCAATAACTGGCACTTTGCATAACCGACAAATACATATAGGGGAAGTACCCCGCAAATTTCGTTAATACCCCGGAGATCTAACGATTGGAAGAGGAATGGCAGCACTGTTTTTCATTTGGCGGGCAAGGTGTGGTGCGAATTCTTGCCATTAGACGGCTCTGTAAAATGCCTCTGACTCATTCCCGCCATCTTTGCTCTTGTTTAAACTTACCATATGTCTCTGACTTCGTGTTTTTCATTATTTCCGTCTTAGTGTGATACTCAATCACGCCTAAATGCCCCAGTGATTGTTCATCTTGCGAGGGGAAGTTTGATGTGATGTGGTAAGGTGTAATAAGGCATAATAAGAGTGGTTGATGGACCAGTAAAGATTGGTAGATACTTCACACCCTAAACCATTTCTACCATCCTCAACACAAGTAAATAACAGTCAATTTATGCTTTATACTGCTTATTTAAGGCCCATTATTATGCTTGCTTTATATGTCTACTTTATTTTCTTGCTTGACAGTGTGCACGACAGAGATACCTTGTATAGCAAGGGTAGAGGGGAGGTGGCTGGTCTCTAACCCCTTAAATTTGTTATGTTCTTATGGGATTAATTGCTTCAATAACCGTTGATTGAATAACCAACGACTTTTCCTGGTCCCTATATGCATCGGTTATCTGGATACACCTGTATGTATTAAATTCTGATAAATACGCTGCAAAATTATTTACTAGTGCGCAAGAGAGACTCGCAAGTAGAGGAATTAATGTAAATTATGGGCGGGCCTTTCAAAAAAAAATCCAATATCTATAAATTAGGGCGTTAAATGTGGGTTGCCGGTAAATCCAGTTACGAAAAATCGAGGTTTAACCTGTATAATTAGAATTTTAATTGGATCCTATTTACAGTACAGTGAGTTCTGCTATAACGCTTGTTTTGATAACGCGAATTTGCTCTAACGCGATTTATGAATTAGGAACGATATTTGTATAACGCGAACGCTTGTTTGCTATAACGCGATTTTTGCTTACTATTTCTCCAATTTTGTGGTATAAACTGTGAATATGGTAAAGAAGAATATCTCCAAGAAGCGTTCTGGTGATAGAATGCCCGGTGATGATCGAAAAAGAAAGGATATAACACTTGAAGAGAAGCTCGATGTTATCAACCTCAAAATCACCCTTCTCCCCCATCAAGTTACATTCATATTTTTTCAAGGTAAAGTGTTACATTTACTGTATGATTTCATTATTAGATATGAATGTAACATTTATTTAGACTGTGCTATCCTTTGTGTTAGGCTAACTACTAAATTTTTTCGATTTCGAGTAATCTGCACCTAACCCTATTTTCTCCATAAGCCCTGTTATTTCTATTACGCGATTTTCTATAACACGATATTTTACAAGAACACAATTATCGCGTTATAGCAGAACTACCTGTATATTGTACAGTGGTCCCTCGGTTAACGAACACAATTCGTTCCAGCAGGTTGTTCGTTAACCGAAAAATTCGTTAACCGAAACCATTGTTTGAATGGGTTTTTAGGTAATTGGTTCCAGCTCACCGAAAATTGCCTAAATTCAACAAAAATGGTAGAAAAGTTCACTTACTTTGAGGTGTGTATGTAGAAGGCTCCTGGATGATGATGATGATGATGGGAATTAGAATGGGGGTGGAGGAGAAGGAAGAAGAGAAGGCATTGGGGAGGAAGAGAAGTCACCCCATGGCACCATTTCTCCCATAAAATTTTAGTTCTCTTGGTGTATTTCAAGATTATTTTCTTTAAATCAACACTGCACTGCATTATATATTGTCAATATGTAAAATATATTTCAAAATGACCAATAATTTGCTTGGAAACACAGAAAAAAAGCATTTAGTTGAAGAGAGTCTCAAGCAAGATGTTACCTCCAGTGAAAACAGAGAGAGACTAACGCCTGTTTGCTGTGTTATGAGGCTGGATGCCACGCATTAAACTTGTCACTTTACCTTCAATTATGTTCAATAATTGTTAAAATGACTAAGAAATTGAATATTAAACTTTTAAAATTATTGAATAGTATAAACTACTTGATATTTACTAAAATAGTAAGGAATTTAAGCTCTAGAACCGATTAATGTATTGGCGGACTAATACTAAAGCTGGTTGACCGGCCAGTGCAAGCGAAAACATGTTGAGGTCGGTTCGTAAGAAATTCGTTAACCGAATTTTTGTTCGTTAACCGAATTTAAGAATCTTATGGGAGGCAGTTCGTTAACCGAAATTTCGTTAACCGAGGCGTTCGTTAACCGAGGGACCACTGTATACATATACAGTGGGGTATGCTATAACGAACGGATCCTACTACGAATATTCCTATAACGAACGGTTTTACCGATACAATTGAGAATGCTATAACGAACGAAACTCCTACTACGAATATTCCTATAACGAACGGTTTTACCAATAAAATTGAGAATGCTATAACGAATGAAACTCCTACAACGAACATTATTAAAAGATTTTTTTTTTTTTTTTTTCTAATTTATTGTTTTTTATTACAAGTATTAATGATATTCTTTATTTCAGGGGTTTAGATGTATATTTATGCACTTTTTTTACAATTTTTACAATTTTATATTACCCGGTATATTTTTCAGTGTTAAGTGGTTGTATTTGGGGGCCTGGAACGGGTTATTCCTATAACGAACGAATGCTATAACGAACAAGGTTCTAGAACCAATTAGATTCGTTATAGCATACCCCACTGTACTACACAGACAAGTCCTTTTTGCTAACTTCCACTGATAAAGTCCTCTCCCTGTTGCTAAATTCCTCTGATGATGGCTGCCATTCCTACACCAAACTTCCACTTATGATGATGGCCAGTGTTTAAGGGTTAAAGACACCAGTAACTAATTCTCCCGGTAACTTGTGTTAATTTTCAGTTCATGATGTTTGTTCACAGGTCATGGTGTTTGTTCACGCCCGTAATGGAACTTTACGTACAGCTGAGAATTTGATCAAGTTAGCTCAGGAGATGGGGAAGACTAAAGAGTTCCTGCCAGATGAAGGGCCAGATGTTACCAGAGCTCGCAAGGAGTTAGGTCGCTCACGAAACAAAAAATTACATGAATTATTTGACTCTGGGTTTGGAGTCCATCATGCTGGCCTTCTAAGATCTGACAGGTAGGTATGAGTGGGTTGTGATCCTCTCTAACATAGAACATCTGCCAGAGAAGGAGAGTGAGGTCTTTTGCCTGATATGACATGTACACTAGGTGGTGAGTCATGTAGTACAGGTTGTACCTCTCTAGTCCGGCATTCTGTGGTCCGGAAACTCCCGTGGTCCGGAACGATTTTAGTTTGTCCAATAGGTAGATAGGCAGTTTTTTTTTTTTTTTACTTATCTGAATTATTATTATTATTACAGGAGTATTAAATTTTTGCCCCTCAGGCCCCAATGTGGGTCAGTGACCTATGCCCGGGTGGGCTAATCCCCTTAAAAAAAAAAAAAGCCGCGGGAAATTAAGGTTTGTTTACATCCGGCAGTTCGGCTGCTCTCTCTCTCTCTCTCTGCTTGTCTATACAGAGTACAACATTTAACCCTTCAATATATATGAGCAGTAAATAAGTGTTGCTTTCATATTCTTATGTAGAGTAATGACGATATATTTTCACATGTGCGCACTTACATACGAGCAGTCTCACTTTTTTTTTTACCATTTATGGTTAGCTACTTATATTTTTCCATTTATTAACATTAAATAACATTACAGGTACTTCAAGCAACCATATTCATTTTTTACATTAATTTTACTACAGCTAAACTCAGGATCTTATTTTCTTCAGTTTCATATGTAGAACCAATCAGTCACTGGTTTCGTAAGCTTTAACATAAACAATGCCAGCAGCCGTCTCGTCTCCTCTAATATTCCACGTATTATTAATAAATTGTATTGTTAATTTTGCACACACGTACATTAATTCAATAAAAACAAATTCAGAAACATTAATTAAAATATATATGAACAGTAAATAAATGTTGCTTTCATATTCTTATGTAAAGTAATGACGATATGTTTTCACGTGTGCGCATGCGCACTTACATATGCGATCTCTCTTTTTCTTTACCATTATCGTTAGCTACTTCTATTGTTCCATTTATTAACATTAAATAACATTACTTAAAACAACCATATTAATTTTACTACAGCTACAACCAAGGTCTTATTTTCTTCAGTTTTATATGTAGAACCAGTCAGTCACTGGTTTTGTAATCAACGAAAACAATGCTGTGTCATTTCCTCGTGTGTTTTAATATTCTACGTATTATTAATGAATTGTATTGCTCATTTTGCACACAAACATTAATTCAATAAAAAAGACATTCAGTAATAAACAATAATGAATCTTTTGTACATAAGAGAAATGACGCTGTTTACACGATTATGCACGTCGTCTGCACGTTGGCGGGCCGTTCAAACCCGTCGAAATTCAAGTTTCCGCCGTCAAAATTTTTATTTATTTATTTTTTTGTGTGTTCCAATAAAATACGTTAAGAATTAAAAACTCGTGAAATTTGAGAAGCTACTATACGACATTTAACCTTTCAATATGTCTTCAAAGAGACCATGATGCAGAGAAAGTGGTGCTAGTGCTTCCAGGCATAAGCACAAGTCAGGAAAAGGGTGAATTTCCATGGTCCGGCAATTTCCATGGTCCGGCACCGGTCAGGTCCCGATGTTGCTGGACTAGAGAGGTACAACCTGTATATGAGGTCTGTCCAAAAAGAAACCGAACTTTTTAGATAGCGCGCCAACGAGCCGGCACAGCGTGCTCGCAGCGGGAGCTCTGTTTAGCGGTGACCTTGATGTTTAGTCTAACACTAGCCGCACCACGCCACATCAATTAGTCATCAAGCTACACTCGCTAGAGGGAACGTGTGTTTAGTGCACTTGGCGATTTGTTGCAAGTTGAACAATGAAGGATCCTGAAGAGCAACGTGTTTGTGTGAAATTCTGTTTCAAATTGGGAAAACTTTTAAGGAGACTTGTCAAATGTTGCAACAGGCTTATGGGGAGGATTGTTTGAGCCGTACACAATGTCACGTGTGGTACCAGCGTTTCAAAAGGGGAAGAACATCCACTGAAGACGATCCCAAATCTGGACTTCAGAGTCTCTCAAATGTGGAGGTGACGTTGATCGTCTTTTTTGATTGGAAGGGTGTCGTTCATCATGAGTTTGTTCCACGTGGTCAGACAGTCAATAAAGAGTTTTACTTGGAGGTCCTGAAGCATTTTGAGGGAGGCAGTGCGAAGGAAGAGACCTGAGGCGTGGACAAACAAGACCTAGATGCTGCACATGACAATGCACCTGCTCATGTGTCGCTCCTTATCCGTGACTTTTTGGTGAAGCACGAGACGACTATCGTCCCCCAGCCGCCCTACTCTCCGGATTTGGCCCTACGGACTTTTTTTTTTCAGAAGTTGAAAACCACCCAGAAAGGTCGCCGATTTCAGACGATAGAAGAGATAGAAGAAAATTCACTATGAGACCTGTGCACCATCCCTCAAAATGCATTCCAGGACGCGTTCCAGAAAGGGAAAAAACGTTGGGAGTGGTGTATCAACAGTGGAGGGGAGTACTTTGAAGGAGACAAGTCTGATTAAGTTGTAAGTAAAGCAATAAATTTGTTTTTTAAAAAGTTTGGTTTCTTTTTGGACAGACCTTGTATGTACACTAAGTGGCGAGTCGTATAGTAAATATACACTAGGTGGTACATATTTACTTTATTTACCCACTAGAGGTGGCCATAATGAGGGATGGAGGCCAGTGGCCTTTGTTGGGTCCCTCTATTGTTCTTGATAATTTTGTCGAGTTAATTTGAAGCCCAATACCAAAAACTTTCCTCTGCAGAACACAGATTGAGTCCTTATTTAGTCGAGGATTCATTAAGGTCCTGGTGTGTACGGCAACACTGGCCTGGGGCGTCAACCTTCCTGCTCACGCTGTCATTATAAAGGTGAAATAAGTCTTTTTTTGTGGATTTTGTGGTGTAAGATTTTCTAAAATATTTCCTGGTGAATTTATATCTGTATTTAATAGGATTATTCCTCACAAATTACATTATCACTTCTCTTATTCCATGTTTTTAAAGGGTATTTTGTGTAAATATTCATTTTTCTACAGGGGACAGATATCTACAACAGCAAACATGGCACAATGGTGGATTTAGGCATTCTGGATGTGCTGCAGATCTTTGGTCGTGCTGGTCGACCGCAGTTTGACACCAGCGGACATGGTACCATCATTACCACCCACGATAAGTTGACACATTACCTGTCTCTTCTTACCAATCAATATCCCATTGAGAGTTCTTTCATCAATCATTTGGCAGACAATTTAAATGCTGAGGTAAGTGAACCATTGACTCATAATGTGTGTAGGTGTGGCCCTGGAAGAGTCTTCTTACTAAAGATAGAACAAGGGGGAATGTGTATCTATTAAACACTTCAGAAATCACTGTACCTTGCAGATTCAGGATATGAATAGAGTGTGTGTGTGTGTGTGTGTGTGTGTGGATATTATTCTTTCTTAGCACTTTCCTCTCATATTGTACTCCTGTGAAGTGTGAGTACATGGTTACCTTCTGCACCACAAGAGTGAGAGAGAAGAACAGTAAAGGTAAAAGATGGAATGCAAAGTGGTGTTTAAAATTGGATCAAGTCATTTTACTTACAAGTGTTCGTGAATTTTTATGTTTTGTTACCGATTAGCCAAAAATTTGATTGATAAATAAGCATTGATTGAAAAATAATATATTGTGTTAGTGATGAGTACATTGAGTGTCTTACAGGTTTCTTTGGGTAATGTGACAAACGTTGAAGAAGCTATTGAGTGGATGAGCTACACATATCTCTTCGTCCGCATGCGCAAAAATCCTCAGGTACCAATTATTGTTTTGTGGGTCCTTGTTTTATTACACTTTCTCTGGTGGTATGGTGCTTGTGTGGCTGATAGCCTTGTTTGAGATTCTGGAGTAATTGTAACTTTGAAAATATCATCTTTATATTTTGAGAGAAATAAATATATTTTTTTTATACTTTTTGTGGTGTAAATATTTGTTTTAAGGAGGCATAAGTACTCCAGGCAAGTGTTTGAAAAGCTTAAATGTTTGCGGGTACAGTATTTCACAGTACGACTGCTGTATTTCCTTGGTGCAGGTATATGGTCTGCTGTACAAAGAAGCTCAGCAGGATCCTACCCTCGAGTTATTCCGCCGGGAACTCCTCACAAAGGCAGCACGAGCTCTTGATAAAGCCAGGATGGTGCGTTATGATGAGGGTACCGGCTATCTCCATATAACAGGTCAGCATGTTTTTTTGTACAATTAACTACCTGTATTAAAGTCCGTTCACCTCTTCCCCTGTACCACAAACCCTGAGATTCAGACTCGTGAACCCAAAGCAGTAGACACCAATGCATCATTCTGTCCATGAGTGCTTTGGTTTCATTATTCTGAATCTCGAGGTTTGTGGTACAGGGGAAGAGGTGAACAGAATTAAGTTGACTGTACAGTCAGCCAAAGTTCCATCGACCCCACCCTGGCTCTCGTACTCCCAATTTTACCTGCCAATACTTGAAGGAAGGAAGGAAGGCTGTATGTAATGGGGAATGTGATTGGTGGATTTATTTTTGGCTGCATCAATGTCAGGATAAATATTAAACAATCCAAAAGTAACATTTTTATAATAATAAACCACTGAGGTGGTCATTTTGGTGTTCTACTAACTGCATTTGATGGTATTTTAAACGCCTTGGTTAAGGACGTTCAGGTGACGGGCAAGTCGATCGGAATGCTTGAAACCCGCCTTTTGACGCATTCAATTTATTGATGTGGTCAAAACCTGCAGAGGAGATGTTCATATTATTACATGGTGATTCATCTGATACATAATTAGTTAGTCTCACACAATTTTATCTTAATTACAATTTATTAAACATACTGACATAACACAAAGTTCACAACTATATTAATCTTAGTTTCGTTTCATTCTGCATTGTCTTATTACTCCAGGTTAGGCAGAAACGAGTAGACATAATTAGTCAACACTATTTCAGTACCTAGGGGTATGTCATCACTTATGCTGTACTTACAAGTGTGGGTCAATGCAGATCAGTATGGTGTACCAAGAGACAACAAAACTGTGCAAATTGTCTCAGCACAAATTCTGGGACAGGATTGTGAGTCGGTGTTTACCAGTGCGAACAGAGGGCTGATCCTTACAGCTTCACTCGAGAGTGAGGAGGGCTTGCGGCCACACCACCCTTTAAACCATACATTTAACAGAATCAGGACCTCTTGTCCATAAACACCCCACCCCCCCAAATCTTTGTTCGGGTAATCCAGCAAACTCCAACACTCACACGCCAGTACTCACTTGCCAATGCTGACGCCAGCGGTGATAACACTCCCGGCGGTGCCAGCAGTGATGCCGGCGGTAAACACCGCCCCTCGCCACATCTGGTGGGGTCACAGGTCACGTGGGTGGGGGGGGAGGGGGGCATGGTCGCAGGCTGAGAGATCCAATGTTTGTTCGGGCAAGGCAGCGAACGTCAGTACTGACACCAGCATAATAAGCCAGAGGCGGTAACAGGTATTATTATTAATAACTCAGTGAATGAGAGAGAGAGAGAGAGAGAGAGAGAGAGAGAGAGAGAGAGAGAGAGTCTGTTGGTAAGGACTCAGAAAGGGGTTGAATAGCTCTCAGTTATGTGGGTTTTTTAATTCCTTACTTTTTTTTTTCTTTTGAATCATATTGCAACTGGCTTTATTGTCATTGCATAATTTAAATTTAAGGCATGTATTATATTTCTTTAGAGGATTAAAATATAGACAGGTGTGTTATTTACAGTATATTGTTTAATAACGGGTCCATCCACCCTCCTTATCAATTACAGCTTGCAGCCTACACTGCATAGAAGATACATTGTTTCTAACAAGCTCAGGTTTGTTTCTAAAAATCTCCCACTGTTTTGTCATGTGGTCGAACATCCGGTTCGGCGTCCTCTCGAATTCGGGCTTCCAGGAATTGACGATACTTGCCCAGATATTTTCAATGGGATTCATGTCGCATCCCTTGCTCGGTACTTCCAAGAGCCTGAGGTGTTGCTGCCCATCAAACCACTGATGCACTGCTCTGGCCGTTTGGATGGGGCATCTATCTTGAATAAAAGTAATTGGCCCAGCAGGGAATGGGAAAGAGCATTCCTGAATTGAAGGGAGGAACTGAGTCCGCAGGATGTCTAGGTACGTATTTATTTACCGTAAACCTCTCCTTAATTTGGAAAACATCTCCCATATCGTGCAGGGATATGTAGCCCCACACGTTCAGCATCACATGCCCACTTCTAGCCACCTCGTATATGTGGGCCCTGTCATATCTGCAGGAAGGAAAAATACGATACAAATATAATATGTTGGCCTAATTAAGCTATTACATCTTATATTAAGTTTGTAGTATAATACTTGAATTTTTTTTTTAATGTTATGCAATAATCTTAGACTTTTATTTGAAATTGTATAATGAGCTGTTCGATGTTTTACATCTATATAGACAAATACGGTCTAAATCTTATTTTAATCGTTGTTGACTTGTTAATATGTTAAGTTTACTTACCTCGTGCTATTTGGCAGCCACAAATGAATTTTACCGTGGTTAGTACTGGCAAAAGTCTTCTCATCCGTAAAGACTACTCGCAACCAAAACTCCAGGCTCTCTCCCACATATTGCTGGGCAAACTGGAGGAGACCAGTGCTGTGTTGTTCAGTTAGCCGTTCCTTTATGGCAGGGACTCTGTGTTGTATGCCCGCCTCATGCAAACTTGACCTGACAGTCTGTGCACAGACGTCTAAGTGTAACGCCTCTCTGATGGCGGCAGCGTTGGAGAATGGGTTGTTTTGGATTGCTGCTATTATGACGGCATCCTCATCCCCAGTCGTCAGTCGGGGGCGTGGTCTTCTTTCTGAAAATAGACATATATTGTTTTTTTTTATCTCCTGTGTCATAACTTGGTATGCCATTAATGCTATGGCATACACTCATAACCTTTAACAAAAAATCAAAACATTTACTTTATAATATTTGCATTATCATATCATTTATATAAAAATAAATGTCTTGGTTATTGTTTATATCCTGGTTCAATCTGAAATTTTCATACTTACCCAAATCAGTTAAATTACCCGTTTCGGCATATCTCCTAATCCACCTCTTCACAGTTGAAGTCGAAACCGCAAGTCAGTCTGCGATGGCACTCACCGTAAGGCCTCCTTCTCGGAGGGCGATTATTTGGCCGCGAGTAGTTAAGCGCTGTTGCGTCGGGTTCATGGTGACAGAAGTAATGCCTACTATTGATATCGTATTCACAACAACACTTCGGTCAAGCTCCTATTGACTGATTAGACCATGCCAAGTGATATGTGATTGGTGGGCGTAAAACCTGATGCTGATGTCATAAAAAGATAGGTAACTACCCTGTATTGAAAATGTTGTTACCTAACGATGAGTACGCAGTCTTTTGCCGAACAATTGTCGATTTTTAGTTCGACAAAGGGGAACCAGATATTAAACTCCATATATCAGCTGCCACTTGTGTAGGTTATGTATCTATGCTACTGTGCCGAGTAGCAACCTTGTAAATAAGCTACTGTGCCGAGTAGCATTTATATATGTAATTACGTGGCAACACTGCACGTGTTATGTGGCAACATTGCCCCGAGGCTGCCATATGGCAAGGCAGTCTCAGTCTGACTCCGTGGGCCGTGCATGGCACACGCTAGTCACCACTTGTATTTCTCCTATCCTTTAATAAACGGACTTCAGTGTTACCTGGTGTTTCCCTACCCATCACTGCATTCTTCAGGGAACACTTGGAACCTTCACGGCGCAGTGAGTAGGATCTGTGGACTTACAAGTGTGTGAACAATGGACAGTTAGCCGGCGATGTGCGACTGCCGGCGATGTGCGTGTCGACTCTTGTGTTGCGTTGTGTTTCGCCGCAACGTGCAGTGTTGCGCCGTCACAGTGCGTTCTAGTGGCAGTGTTAGTGTCAGTGTATTAGTGTGTCTAGAGCTGAGAGTTGAACATTGGCCTGTTTTTTGTGGTACCCACGGAGCACGCAGGCGTACACCCTTCTCGTGTGACATTTATATATGTAATTACGTGGCAACGCTGCACGTGTTATGTAGCAACATTGCCCCGAGGCTGCCATATGGCAAGGCAGTCTCAGTCTGACTCCGTGGGCCATGCATGGCACACGCTAGTCACCACTTGTATTTCTCCTATCCTTTAATAAACGGACTTCAGTGTTACCCGGTGTTTCCCTACCCATCACTGCATTCTTCAGGGAACACTTGGAACCTTCAACTTGGATACTTCATTTTCCCAATAGCACACATTTCACATATACAGAGACCCCTCGGTTAACGAACTCAATCCGTTCCAGAAGGTCGTTCGTTAACCGAAACCATTGTTTCAATGGGTTTTTGGGTAATTGGTTCCAGCTCAGCGAAAATTTCCTAAATTCAAAAAAATGGTAGAAAAGTTCACTTACTTTGTGGTGTGTATGTAGAAGACTCCTGGATGATGATGATGATGATGATGATGGGATTTAGAATGGGGGTGGAGGAGAAGGAAGAAGAGAAGGCATTGGGGTGGAAGAGAAGTCACCCCATGGTGCCATTTCACCCATAAAATTTTAGCTCTCTTGGTGTAATTCAAGATTATTTTCTTTAAATCAACACTGCACTGCATTATATATTGTCAATATGTAAAATATACAGGTATTTCAAAATGACCAATAATTTGCTTGGAAACACAGAAAAAAGCGTTTAGTTGGAGAGTCTCAAGCAAGATGTTACCTCCAGTGAAAACAGAGAGAGACTAACGCCTGTTTGCTGTGTTAAGAGGCTGGATGCCGCGCATTAAACTAATCACTTTACCTTCAATTATGTTCAATAATTGTTAAAATGACTAAAAAATTGAATATTAAACTTTTAAAATTATTGAATAGTATTAACTTCTTGATATTTACTAAAATAGTAAGGAATTTAACCCCTAGAACCGATTAATGTATTGGCGGACTGATACTAAAGCTGGTTGCCCGGTCAGTGCAAGCGAAAACATGTTGAGGTCGGTTCGTAAGAAATTCGTTAACCGAATTTTTGTTCGTTAACCGAATTTTTGTTCGTTAACCGAATTGAAGATCCTTATGGAAGGCAGTTCGTTAACCGAAATTTCGTTAACCAAGGCGTTCGTTAAACGAGGGGTCACTGTAATTTGTTTTAATTGCCATAATTATGAATGTAATATACTTATACTGATAACTAGAATATACGAAGATACAATGTCGTTACTGACAAGCGAGTCTGTTACACAGTGTCTGCTCTCTAACGTAGGTCAAATTATATTATATAATGCTCACATTGTAAAGACAATTAATTCCTTCATGAAACATTCAAGATTAAATGTGGAACTTACTGTATATTCTTGAAATTTGATGTGAGAATCTCGTGGCATCCCTGGTTATAGCTGCATTGCCAATTCGTTGATATAATATCTTCATTATTTAAGCAAATATACAAATATTTGGAAACTTGTCATGATCTTAAATAACGATGAATACTGTAGTTTATTATTATAAAAATGTTACTTTTGGATTGTTTAATATTTATCCTGACATTGATGCAGTCAAAAATAAATCCACCAATCACATTCCCCATTACATAGCCTTCCTTCCTTCCTTCCTTCAAGTATTGGCAGGTAAAATTGGGAGTATGAGAGCCAGGGTGGGGTCGATGGAACTTTGGCTGACTGTACATCGTGGGGCAAAGGTCAGTGTGTGTGCGTGTTGTAACTTACTCCTCAAACTCCTGTGAAGACTAGTACATTCATCATTCAGAATTGAGTATGATATTCATCCAGGTGTGATACAATGATATGAGTTCCGGTACCCAGACAATTCCGGGATGGGGGATATTTTTCCGGGTTCGAGAGATGACGTACCAATGGGCAATTTCTGGAACTTCCAAGAAAATTTTCCATTACTTGGAAAATTCCGGGGATGAGAGGTTTTTTTGAGGATTTGAGAGAGTCCTCTCGATTCCCGGAAATCTCTCACATCTGGAAGTACTCTTCCAATTATTCTGGCTAATGGAGTACTTTACTTTATATACGGATTACATATGATTTAAAAGACATTCCACAATGGTTGTTAGTTTAAGAGGTTAAAAATTACTATCCTAATAATGACTAATGTAAAATGGTTTATTATCACAGACATGGGTCGAGTGGCCAGTCAGTTCTACATTAAGTACGACACTGTAGAAATTTTCAATGAATTCCTCAAGGCTGTGATGAATGAGGCAGACATCTTAGCTGTTATTTCTCAGAGTTCTGAATTTTCTCAGCTGAAGGTGAGCACATTTTGTTTTATGTTTAATGGAATTAGAAAATCATTCATTTGTGTAGATGATGTCGTCAGCTCTTCACACCTTCAGGGCCAATTCTCTCTTATAGAAATTTTTATTTATAAAATTTTGTTTCTCCCTTTGATTTTGTTGAATTTTAGGTGTAATATATAGAGATTTACAGAGTGATTTAAAAGCCACTGTGCACCTGCAGAAGTGAGATAGATAGATTAATAAATCTCATAAGTGTATAATTTTTATTTTCAGGTTCGAGATGAGGAGCTGAATGAGTTAGATGACCTTCACCACCAATGTGAAGTAGCAGCCATGGGAGGTGTAGAGAACCTCCATGGCAAGGTCAACATTCTCTTACAGAGTCACATCTCTCGCATCAGAGTTGACAGTTTCTCTCTTGTGTCGGATGTGAACTACATCACTGAGGTAAAGTAGTCTCTACTAACATAACACTTTTTCTCTCTACTGTTCCTTATCACAGTTATTGTTTGCTGTAAAAAACAGACACACTTCTAGTAATAGCCTTTTTATATTGGTTGGAACCATGGACAATATTATCTTAACCCATCCAATGGCTACAGCTGGTCTGAATATCGAGTGAACAGTACTTTAAATGCACCCGTTTTTGTCTTATTTTCTAATAGGTGGCAAGTTTAAAGTCATGAGCCTGAGAATATATCTACTGTAGCTTGTTGTACTGTATGCTAAAAACATTTTGCAGAATTCGGTGCGCATCACTCGTGCACTGTTTGAAATTGTCCTTCACAGAAGTTGGCCGCTCATGGCTGCTAGACTATTGACTATGGCCAAGATGTTGGAGCACCAGATGTGGCATTTTGAGAGTCCAATGAAGCAGTTTGCTCGCCTCACACATGAAATCATTGACAAGATTGAAGATAAACGCCTCACTATTGAGAAAATCCGTGACATGGACCACAGAGAAATAGGTATACTCGAACTTGTACTGTACTGTATACAGTGTTTAGTATGGTAGGCCATATAAACACCAGCCTCTCAAATAATTGGCTGAACCACTCGTATGTTAAATTAAAGTAATAACTTGTTTTAATGACTCTTGGGATGAATCAATTATTTATTGCGACACTAATTACTCGGTACCATTCCATTTTTCCCTCCTGGATGTAGATACACAGGTTAATTTCCAGTTCTGAGAGAATTACAGTATACTGTACAGTGATATCCCCGTTAGCCAGAACAATTGGTGCAGAGCACTTCCGGGGATGAGAGATTTCCGGCTAACCAGACGACTTTCTGAAACCCAGAAAAATCCCCCATCCCCGGAAATATTTCCTGTTACTGGAAAAACTTTCCGAGTGTCTAAACAATGCATCTTGCACAGACAAACACTAGCTCACATCATCATAATGTTTCTGTGTGCTGGGGAGTTTTCCAAGAGTCTAAACTAAAAATCTAATAATCTATATGATATGGACGTGAATGAAGCTGGGTGTCAGAGCAAATACTGGTATTTTCCACTCCCTTGGAGCTGTGGGGGATTAGTGGATCTCATGTAACTGACCTGATTTGACACAATTTCAGGTGGGAGGTAGGGTAGGGTATTTGGTGGTCTCATATTACTGACCTGATATAATGTCAGGTCACCCTCTGTCAGGTGGGGGATTAGTAGGTCTCAGGATTGAAGTTGACTTGAATAAGTACAAAAGCTAAAATACAGTATATTTTATACTTACACTTATCACATTGTATCCCTTCAACATTATGTTACATTTGATTTTAAAATGTGGAGTGAGAAAGCTGAAAGCCCTGGGTGATTAGAGAGATGGAGTGGCAAGGTGTGGTAACATGTACCAGGGTTGCCAAGCGCTAAGCTCCTCGACAGCTGATCTTCTAATTCACCACCACGTAGTTAACCACGTATAAGTTTGTCATACAATATGGGGGTGTTTGGGTGTCTGAGTGTGATGTGGTATTAATTAATAAATAAGCAATATTGCATCGTTAATGACAGTACTACTGTACTGTCATTAACAATACAATATTGTTTATTATTCATTAATTAATACCTCAACAACACATCATACATACAATCTTTTGTGTGAGACACTGCAAGGGTAGAGGGAGGCAGGGGGGGAGGCTAGGTGCTGCAGGGGGGAGGCGATACACACACACCTCCAACACACTCTCCAACATTTTTTCTTATATATTCTTGTATGATCGGTCTCTTATGGTGTATGTTTTATCATGGTTAATATAAAATATTAAACACATTATGCACAAATTATTACAGTAAACATATCTTTATTAATTAATAAATAAAAACAAAACAAAGTAAAACATTTTACAATAGTAATGGAAGGGGAGGAGTAGGGGAGAGGCATGAACCTTTTTGGGGGGTGTGTGGTCAGTCCCCCAATCAAAAGAAAAAAAAGAAAAGAAACAAACAAACCTCCATCACAGAGGAACAGGAGCATGACGCAATATTTTGTCATTTTCTATACATGTTATCGCACAGCATTTAGTATTTTATAATATCAATGATAAAACATACACCATAAGTGGCAGATCATACGAGAATATACTGTATAATATAATAAGTGTTGGAGGTGTGTGTATCACTTTATTAGTATTAATAGCTAGGGCCCTTTTCTCAAAATTTATAAAATACATTAATGAAAATGAATGGAAATTAGAAATAGTAATTAGATTTATAAGTTGCAAAATGTTGGATGGTCCATCATTATTTTTATTTGTATTTTCATAAATACTGTATACGTACATATATTAAAAAAAATTCCCTGAAAATCTCTTGATTTTATACCATATTGACTTGTGTTTCATGAACTATACACGTATGTGTAGTGATCACTTGGTGGGGGGGGGGGTTCAGTCGGTATCTCCTGCCATATGGACAGGACTGATTTACGTCAGCTTACAGTTGCCATTTAGGGATTTTTCCAAAGCAAGCACACACACACACACTGAGAATAACGCCAGTATTATTAAACAACATCTTCCCCTGAAGAGGCTCATTATGTTTCAACCCGAGTTTTAAACTAAATGAGTCCTGAGGGACACCGCAGTACAGTACTTAACGGGGTGGTGTGGCGGTAAAATTAACTATTACCAATATTATAAATTAATTTCAAAACCCTCAGGCAGGTTACTACGCCACGAAAAGATGGGTAAAGAAGTTAAGGCAGCAGCATGGCAGTTCCCTCTACTGCTGTTGGAGGCCACCATCCAGCCTATCACCAGGACTGTTCTCAGGGTGAAGCTTGATATTAAAGCAGAGTTCACGTGAGTATGAGTATTGAGTTAATGTGAGTGAGTATATTAAAGGAGAGTTAATGTAATTTTGTGAATATATTACAGCTGACTTCATGCGAGTATGAATATCTGTTAGGTGTTATATCATCAGCTGTTGATTATATTGATCAGGTTCTGTGTGCTGTAGTAATCATTTCAGACAAATTGCAAAGGTATATCATCAGTGGAAGACAGCTGTAGGGACAGTGGCCACCATAAGTGGAAGAGAGCTGTAGGGACAGTGGCCACCATAAGTGGAAGACAGCTGTAGGGACAGTGGCCACCATAAGTGGAAGACAGCTGTAGGGACAGTGGCCACCATAAGTGGAAGACAGCTGTAGGGACAGTGGCCACCATAAGTGGAAGAGAGCTGTAGGGACAGTGGCCACCATAAGTGGAAGACAGCTTGAAGGGACAGTGGCCACCATAAGTGGAAGACAGAAGGGACAGTGGCAGTGGAAGACAGGGACAGTGGCCACCATAAGTGGAAGACAGCTGTAGGGACAGTGGCCACCATAAGTGGAAGACAGCTGTAGGGACAGTGGCCACCATAAGTGGAAGACAGCTGTAGGGACAGTGGCCACCATAAGTGGAAGACAGCTGTGGCCAGTGGAAGACAGCTGTAGGGACAGTGGCCACCATAAGTGGAAGACAGCTGAAGGGACAGTGGCCACTATAAGTGGAAGACAGCTGTAGGGACAGTGGCCACCATAAGTGGAAGACAGCTGTAGGGACAGTGGCCACCATAAGTGGAAGACAGCTGTAGGGACAGTGGCCACCATAAGTGGAAGACAGCTGAAGGGACAGTGGCCACTATAAGTGGAAGACAGCTGTAGGGACAGTGGCCACCATAAGTGGAAGACAGCTGTAGGGACAGTGGCCACCATCAGTGGATATTTCATATTTCTTCTGTTCCATTTTATTGCACGTGGGGGTGGAGCAGGATTTCCTTAGCTGCCAAATAAGTGTTAAGAGAGGAGTACAGTACAGTACAAGGTATAGACAACAGATAGGTATAGTTAATGTTTATGTGATTAGTATTGGATGAAAATTAAATGTATTTGACTTGTTTGATTATATAGTTGGAATGACAAGGTTCATGGCAGCCAAGAAACATACTGGATCTGGGTTGAGGATCCTGACACCAACCACATGTACCACCACGAGCAGTTCACACTCACCAAGAAACAAGTAAGTCAACATTTGGTAAAATTTTTACTAACCTTAACTTCCCCTTTCTTTGGTCTGTATATAAACATTTCCTCCTTGTATTTGTGCAAATTTATGTATCTATTCAGACTTGCACATGCACTAACTTTTATGCATACACATACAGTACACAGTACAGTATACACAATGAGGCACACGTACAATATACACAAGCAGACACGCTTTTACATATACACTTTACTTTTATCATTTTTTACTCACACATCCCTTCTTAACTTACAAGTCCTGGGAAATGCATTACTGGTTTTGTTTACTGACCTTTCATAGACGGTGTGTGTCACTTCCACACCTTCTAAGTTTACTAAATTACTTCTTCCATCACGTACAGTATTGCCTTCTTTGTCCCAAAACAGAATACGTACTGTATTGGAATAAATGGCCATCCATGTGTCTGGTTGTCGAAACGTTAAAAAGTTCAAATGCAGTACAGAATATTGCTCCATCAGTTGTACTGAAACTGTATAAATGAATTTTACACATCCCATAAACTATGCAACTCTTAAAATTTAAGAAAAATAAACAAAGGTTAAATTTACCAAATTTAACATTAGTAGTAATTTCAAATCAACTGATGGGGAATGTGTAATTTTAACTTGATTTACCATTGAGACACATTGATAAGAAACTGTGCGGTGTATGTCCTTGTAGGTTGTTCGTCGTGAGGAGCAGCAGCTGGTGTTTACCATCCCCATCTTTGAACCGATGCCCAACCAGTATTATGTGAAGGCCATTAGTGATAAATGGCTCAGTTGTGAGTCCACTTGTGTTATGAACTTCAAGAATTTGATCCTTCCAGAGCGTCATCCTCCTCACACAGGTCAGTGCTTCATAAAGTGAAGGTTCTCCAGTAGAGCTTTGCAAGTTAACTGGTGCTTTACTTATCTTGCTGAGTACATTATACCCTCACTACCTATACTGACAGTAGGCACCTGAGGCCTCATGTCTTGTTAGAGGCATTTTCGGTACAGAACACTAACTGCTAGGTCTTCACTATACAAGGAGGTAGTGTAGCCAACACTTAGCTCCCGCGTGTTCACTTCCTTGCTGTAAAGGTAGTACGTATTCAGCACCAACCAGTGACCCATAAGACACAAAGTGAGCATTGTATCTACTCACCTTCCACACTTGTCTGTAACCAATGATTCTTCACTCTCCTGCGTTCAAACTTTTTGCAATGCACTTCACTAGACTGACTTTGGATGTGCAGCAGATACTGATAATTGAGTGTTTTGAAGGGAAGAATTAGGGTTCAAACACAACCTTTTATGTAGTGTGGTACAGTAGCAGAAGGTGTCAGTACAGTACCTTTTATCATTTCTGTGTCAGTGGTCACCATCTTAGTTTATAGCTGTTTGCCTAATTATCTGTTGCATTGATAGAATTGTTTACTGTTTTACTTGTGTTTGCCTCAGATCTTCTGGACCTGGAGCCATTACCAGTTACTGCTCTTAACAACTCAGAGCTTGAGATGTTGTACAAGTTCTCTCACTTCAACCCCATCCAGACACAGCTCTTCCACTGCCTCTACCACACAGACAACAATGTGTTACTCGGAGCACCTACTGGTTCAGGCAAGACCATCGCTGCCGAGATTGCCATGTTTAGAATCTTCCATGAGGCCCCCGAGGCTAAGGTGACACTCTTATTAGCATTATCTTTGTGTTACAAAGATTTATGAGGAATAAATAATGTCAATGTTGTCTTTGTCACTTAAAGAAATAAAACATAAGACTATTGAAAGATATATGAATTGAACATATAAAAAGGATAGTTCTCTTTCAGAAATAATTATAAATCAGAATCAACTTTCTTACTTTGCATTTCAAGTTAGTTTACTCTGTTTGATACTAGCAATTTGAATAAAGAATAATTACACAAGTTGAGTATTTTATTCTATTTTAACTGGGTTTTATTACTTCACATCAGGTAGTATATATTGCACCCCTGAAGGCTCTTGTCCGTGAACGAGTTGAAGACTGGCGGGTGAGGTTACAAGAAAAGTTGGGCAAGAGAGTTGTAGAGTTAACTGGTGATGTGTCCCCAGACATAAGAGCCATCCAGGTATGTTATACACTTTACATAAGTTATAATGCTCATAAAACTTGTTATTGTTATCATATACACTGCTCTTATTATAATGGCAGACCTCCCCCCTCCCTCTATTGCAGTGTATCTATCTGTTTAGGTTCAATTTTTGCATTTTGCTTTATAGTTTTATTGTCTTCTTGTGCTGGACTTGCCCCACGACTCGCTAAACCTCGCTAAAAACACATTTGTCTTTTCAGTGAAATATACTGTATCTCACCATAGCCTAGAGTTGAGGATGTTTGTCTTGGTTGAAGCTCTACACTGTATACAGTAAACCCCCGCTTTACGCGGTTTCACTTTACTCGTTTACGCGGTACCCTGCCGAAACCGGAATGCTCACTTTCCGCGGTGTGTGTACCCTTTTACGCGGAGAGCGGCGCGAGCAGGGTGCGCACAAGGTCGCCCAGTCGTCAAAACATTACCGAGTTCTTCACCCGCCACCCACCACAGCCGGCCCAAGTCAGTGATAGTGATAATATGGTCTTTGAGGGGTTTGACAAAGAGGCCCTGCAAGCCTCTGTGGTGGATAGTGATACAAGTGATACAGGTGAGGGCCAATAATCTGCCCTCTGCCTCGGAACCAACCCCCCATCCCCATGTGCCCAGCCATCTTTTCTACTAATGTAAGTGTTAAAAAGCCTAATATTATTGATATTTCTCTTAATTATTAATTGTGTGTTCATACCATCATAAAATTAAGAAGTTATTTTTACTACAATGTAGGTATTGTGTCTGAAAAAGTGGAGTTTGGGGGTCGGCCCGGTCTCTACTTCAATTAATCCCATATGTTATGTTGTTCACTTTACGCGTTTCTCACTTTACGCGGGCTGCCGTGGGTTCAATTGACCGCGTAAAGTGAGGGTTCACTGTACAGTCTTTCCTCGACTTACGACATACGTACTGTATTCGACTTAAAACAACCCGGACATACGATGTCCATGGTCGTATAAAATATTTTTCTCATAACGAATTTTTGAGTCCCGACGTTAGTGATTGCTCTGTGTACTGACAAAATTTTTGTTTGTAATTTCCTTTAAAATGACTGGCAAGCATAAACGTGAGAGTTCTCGTGGTGCTGAGAAGAAAAAGAGACACCCATTTTAGAATTTCTATGTATTATTTTCGCCTTTTCGACTTACGACCAATTCGACTTACGACCTGGTCATTGGGACGGAACCCCGTTATAAGTCGAGGAGCGACTGTGTATGATCGTGAAGAATCCACAGTACAGTATACTGTTTTATATTTTCATCCATGCCATATAATATTTTGTCTCAAACTGCAGAAGTATATTTTTATAGAATATTGATATAGATTACAATTGGAAGTAACATTAGGTATAATGGTAGATGTACAAAAGAAATAAAAACAAGAATAGGGCCAGCAAAAACAGCATTTAATAATATTAAAAGACCTAATGAAAAAGGACAATGACATCAATTTGAGAAAAAAGCTGCTGAAAGGCTTCATATGTTAAGGACTGATGTATGGGTCAGAAGTATGGACACTTTCAACAGACACCAGAAAAAGGTTGGGGGCCTTTGAAATACAGTATATGTAGTGTTATAGATGAATGCTAAGAATAAGTTACACTGACAGGAAAACAAATGAAGAAGTACTATGATCAGCAAAAAATTCAGGAGAAATCCTGTTCTTGAAATGCACAGAATAAGAAAACTGAGATACTATGGTCATATAATTAAGGATGAGAGGATAATAACAGAAGTATTAATTGGCAAAGTTTAGGGTAAAAGAGCTAAGGAAAAGTTGCGACTGGGATGGATTAATTAAATTAAAAACCGGGTCTCAGGAGAGATGCAAAATCTTAAAGGATTGGTAAAAACAGCTGTAGAATGTTTAAGAGTGTAGGACTGTAGTTGCCAACCCACAGATAAGAGGTTGGTACTCTGATTGATATTACAAGGTTTTTCTTTTCTTCCAGGCAGCCCATGTTATCATCACCACTCCTGAGAAGTGGGACGGCATCTCTCGGTCGTGGCAGACAAGAAGCTATGTTAAAAAAGTTTCTCTCATTATCATTGATGAAATTCATTTACTTGGTAATGTTGTTTGTGTGTCTCAGGTTCTTTTATTTTATCACATTAAATTACTTATATTTCTTAGGTAGTTGTTTCATGCTGTTTATAACTACTGTACTGAAGGTGGTACTGTCTGTTAACAATTCTTGAATGTCTTTTGTCTTTATGACTTTTGATGTAAAACTGAACAGTGCAGTAAAATACTTAACTTTGTTTAATCTTAAATCCACAGTTAGCCAAAATAGGACAAAAAATTTTAGATTCACAAAGAATCATTCACAAGTTTACAGTCAGAGTCACAGGTTATGATGATGGAGAAATATATAGTACAGTATAACGTTGGAGCTTTAACTATTTTTTTTTAGCTGTATAGATGTACAGTATGTGCGCTCTTGATCAAAGTTACAATATGTTCAGAAAAACTTGGTGGTAGGTGTTGTGGTAGCTTAGACAATGATGTCTTGATGTTCGGCATAACTTGGAATGTGTGTTATATGACATTAGTAATATTATCTCGATTTCAATTTTTAATACAATGGAGAGGTGAGGAAAGTTGTGACTTTTAGCAACATTCTTCTCTGACTCCCAAGGTAAACAACAGTTCTAGGTGAGGAGGGACAGGTGGGGGGAGGCAGGTGATGACACTGGATAGTTGTGAAGAATTAGCATAGTGGTGTTAATTTGTTTATAATGATAAGGATAAATGAAGCAATGTATTGACAAAGGCAACAGTGGGATGCTTACGTGTGACTTTTAGGCACTAGGCAAGTTGGAGAGGTGGGACTAGTTGGTTTTTGCAGAAGCTGTCCTGTTTTTCCCATAAGATTTCAATAAATGTGATTTAAGAAGTTTCCAGGAAACTAATCACATAAACTTAGATGCTTTCATTGTCACTATTTTACAGTCTTTTACACATGTTAGGTTGGCCATGATGACATGGTGTTCTGAGTTGCCATCTGGCAAATTTGAAGAAAGGTTTATGGCTGGTTGCCGTCCATATCACTAACTTAGTTTTACAGTGGGAACTGTATAGAATATATTGAAATCAAGTCTTGTATTTTATTCCTAGGTGAGGATCGTGGCCCTGTTCTAGAAGTGATTGTGTCGCGCACAAACTTCATATCCAGTCACACCAACAAGGGCCTACGTGTTATTGGTCTCTCTACAGCCTTAGCCAATGCCAAGGATTTAGCAAATTGGCTTGGTATTGGACAGGTAATGTCTCGGTTACATCATTTCCTATACAATAAGGTGAGATTATAATGATTGAATTTACTATTTTAAGAGAGTAAGTTTTAACTGTTGGTAAATTTCATCCAACAGTGATAATGATTATGGTGTACTACAGCAGTAAGAGGGAAAAAAACAACAGCACATCAAGGGAGACTCACAATCTGCACTTGGTGTGTTGGCTGTCAAACATCATATTTTAGCAAATTCCAAATATTTACAAACAAGAAAAAATCAGCTTTCAGCAGTGAATATAATTATTTTATGAAACTTGCTTATAAATGAATAGCTGGAACAAAGTCACAGACAGACAGACAGATGTTATTATTATGGTGGAGGTAGGTTTAATAAGAATTAGATATTTAGATATTATTATTATTATTATTGCCCGAGCCTAAATGTGGAGGCAAGGAGAACCAGAGGTAGATCAAGAATGACACAGAGGTTTTAAGAAGCTACATTAGAGTTAAGAACCTGCAAGAGATCAACAAAATGAAGAACTGCCATTAGGTACAGTACTTGCTGCTACCCCACATACTGATCGTACTGTTGCATACACCAGTAAGATGTACTGATGATGAGAACTTGAGGTTTAAAATTCTACTTGATCTCCTGGTGTGACAAAAACTATTATTTCCCATCATACACAATGGGTTGATCTCTGTTTAGTCAGTACAGTACTGTACAATATTGTGTTGATGGAGATAATATATTACTTGGTAAACAATGTCTGACTCTCTGGGAAATACGTCAAATTTATTATAAGTTCCCACATAAATAAACATTTATAATGGCAGGTTTTTGCTTTTGTTTTATAGATGGGTTTGTACAACTTCCGTCCCTCAGTGCGGCCAGTGCCTCTGGAAGTGCACATCTCAGGCTTTCCCGGTAAACACTATTGCCCACGTATGGCTACCATGAACAAACCCACTTTCCAGGGTAAGTGGGTACCAGTTTTATATATTTATTGGCAGTAACAGGTAATATTCAGTATAATATAGAAATATTTGAACTTAGTAATATTAAGGCGGACATAATAATGTTGCTATGCATAACCTGGTATTTTGTTGGTCAAGTCTGTCTCCGTCACACTACAGTTAATATTTCACTCGAACACCCACAGTCCTCTTTACCTCCACTTCCATCTCCCCTTAAAAAAAGCTAGTTTTCACTTTCCAGAAAAAGGTTTCTTGTCATCCACAACATGCCTGACCTGTTATTTTGCATTTTGCCATATGTTAAAATATAGATTTTTAAAAAGTTTCATACAAAGGTACTTCTTTACATGCTGTTTAAGGATCCGAGTTCAAAATTGTAAAATTCGACTATAGTAGTGTTAATTAATGACCCTTGAAATCATTCAAACCGTTCAGAATATTTAAAACGTCAATTATGCCATGCCAGTAAGTTCTAAATCACCTTTATATGGTAACTACCATATAAACACGCTAGTTTTCAGTGTCCAGAAAAAAGCCGTTAGTTATCCTCAAAACGCCTGACCTATTTATTTTATGTTTTGGCAAATGAGGTCATGAAGTAAATTTTGTTGAGATTTAGTACAAAGGTGCTGTTTTACATTAAGGATCTGAGTTCAGAATTTTAAAATTCAATAATTAGTGTTAATTTATGAGCTTTGAAATAATATAATATACATACTGTATAGAGCAGTTAAAACATAAATTATGTTTTACCCCTAAGTTTAATTTGTCTTTATATAGATTTTCTCAGTAATATAGAATATGATTATGCTTTAAATATGTTAGTTTTCACTTTCCAGAGAAAAGACATTTGATTGTGAAAATGGACAACTGACCTATTACCTGTCATTTCGGCATGCGAGGTCAAAACGAGGCTTTTGTTAATACTGCAATTCATACAAATATACAGTTAACCCTCACTTTACGCGGTTAATGTAACCCGGAGGGTACCGCGGAAAGCGAGAAACGCGTAAAGTGAATAACATAACATATGGGATTAATGGAAATGGAGTCCAGGCCGATCCCCAAACTCCACTTTTTGACAACACATAACTATGTTGTAGTAAAAATAACATCTTAATTTTATGATGGTACATGCACACAATTAATACTTAAGAGAAATAGAGAAATACAGTCGCCAAGTTAATGTCCATTCAAATAATGGACACGACTCCCTCCCCCTCTTCTCACACTACACTGCTGGCTCTTCCCTCTGAGAAATTTTGGGGAAACCAGATAGAATAACAATACCTCAACTAAAGTTAGGATAATATAATTGACATTGTTGGTCTCCTTGTAGACTAGGTGTGAATATTTGAATATAAATGTCACATATTTTTCACAAAGACAATATATTTACCAGATTAAAACATTTATCTAAAATTTGTATGTCTAATGCAAAAATCTATGATGTTTATATATTCAAAATGAGATCATCAAATTGTAAGAATTCCAGCAATGTAAATTATATTCTGCCTGGTAATTTCAAAGGACTTTTAAGGAGCTAAAACAAATATTCTTCAGTTAATAAAAAAAAAAATATTTTCACGCCACCATTCGTCGAATCAAAGTAATTCCCCACCTTGCCTCTTCCAACCTACAAGTATATCGTTCCAACCCTCCCCCCCACCCCCCACCAATCCTCCCTTCAAGAGAAAAGAGTGGGTGAAAAAAATAAATTTTAACATTTTGTATTAAATAATACCTCAGATTAAAGTTAGGATAATATAATTGACATTGCTGGATTCCTTGTAAGACCAGGAATATTTTGAATATAAACGTCATATATTTTGCACAAAAGATAACATACTTACTCAGATTAAACATTTTATCTAAAATTTGTATGTCTAATGCAAAATCTATGATGTTTATATTCAAAATGATCATCAAATTGTATGAATTCCAGCAATGTAAATTATATTCTGGCCGGGTAATTTGTATGAATTTTATGAGCTAAAATAAAAATCTTCAGTTAATAAAAAAAAAAAATTCTTCACACGGTAACAGATGGTCGGTCGCCGGTCCCTCCCTCCCTCTCCCACCCCCCACCTCCACCAACCGTCCCTACTAGATAAATGTGTGGGAATACCAGACTGTTTACCTTTTTAGTAATAAATAATAAATCAGACTAAAGTTAGGATAATATAATTGACATTGCTGGATTCCTTGTAAGACCAGGAATATTTTGAATATAAATATAATATATTTTGCACAAAAGATAACAAATTTACTCAAGAGTAAACATTATATCTAAAATTTGTATGTCTAATGCAAAATCTATGATGTTTATATTCAAAATGATCATCAAATTGTAAGAATTCCAGCAATGTAAATTATATTCTGGCTGGATAATTTGTATGAATTTTATGAGCTAAATTAAAAAAAATTATACTTCACCCGTGTAAAGGGGTACACCCACCGCGGAATGTGAGCATCCTGGGTTCTGGCAGGGCACCGCGTAAACGTGGAAAAGCGGAATGTGGGACCGCGTAAAGTGAGGGTTGACTGTGTATATATATATATATATATATATATATATATATATATATATATATATATATATATATATATATATATATATATATATATATATATATACAGTGGGGTATGCTATAACGAATCTAATTGGTTCTAGAACCTTGTTCGTTATAGCATTTTCGTTATAGCATTCCTTTGTTATCGGATTAATCCGTTCCAGGCCCCCAAATACAACCACTTAACACTGAAAAATATAATATAAAATTGTAAAAATTGTAAAAAGTGCATAAATATGCATCTAAACCCCTGAAATAAAGAATATCATTAATATTTGTAATAAAAAAACAATAAATTAGAAAAAATAAATAAAAAATAAAATAAATAATGTTCGTTGTAGGAGTTTCGTTCGTTATAGCATTCTCAATTTTATAGGTAAAACCGTTCGTTATAGCATACCCCACTGTGTATATATATATATATATATATATATATATATATATATATATATATATATATATATATATATATATATATATATATATATATATATATATATATATATATATATATATATATATATATATATATATATATATATATATATATATATATATATATGTGTGCAAGTAAATCACTGTAGGTTCGCGTGATCTAGGTATATGCTGATAACCACAAGGAAAGAAGAAAACACGAAGTTCCCAAGCGCTTTCGTATAATTCACATCTTCAGGGGTCTGTACTCACCCCTGAAGATGTGAATTACACAAAAGCGCTTGGGAACTTCGTGTTTTCTTCTTTCCTTGTGGTTATCAGAATTCCATATATAGGTTGCTTAATACTGGTGAGAGTGGATTACCCATTGCCATACCAAATTTTTGAGCATAATATTCCCCATTGAATTCGAATTTGCAATCCTTAATACATAGTTTGATGAGTTCGATGAAGTCGTCTTTCGAGACGGGCAGTGAAATGTTATCCAGGGAATCTATGAGGAACTCTAGTAAATCATCAACTGGGACCTTTGTAAAGAGTGACGTTACATCAAAGCTGACCAGTTTAAAATCATGATTAATGTGTAAGTTATTGAGTTTATCAACCAGATCCATATTATTCGTGATATTGGAGTTAGAAATGTTGCCAACTAGGGGATTTAGTAAAGAAACTAACCATTTAGATAGTTTATAAGAGATTGACCCAACTGAGCTAATGATGGGTCTTGCTGGGTTATTGGGCTTGTGGGTCTTGATTACACCGTACATGTATGGCAGTGGAGGGGACGTTGAAGTAAGATGTTTAATGAGAGTAGCTTTGCCTCTCAATAGGGACTTCAGTTTTTTGTTGAACTGGGTGTTGACAGTGTTGAGAGGATTATTTATGAGTTTAGAATATGTTGTAGTATCACATAAAAGGTCATTCATTTTAGAGATATAGTCATCTTTGTTTAAAATCACTACTGTGTTGGCTTTATCTGCTTTAGTGACATGTAGATCCTTATTTTTCTTAAGGGCTTGGATTGCTTTGGTGAATCTTTCTGGACAGTTTGGAATGCAAGGCTTGGACATAGATGCATACACAACACCTTTACACATGTTCACTTCTTCACTTGTCAAATTACTGAATTTCTCCAAATTGCAAAATGCTCTGGCTATGTCAACACTGTCGACTCCCTTGTTAGAACCATCAAAACTTAAACCATAGCCGAGGGCACACAAGGTATCATTGTCTAGTTGTTTAGAGGAGAGATTCACTACATAGTTGTTATTGGCATCCTTAGTCCAATCACTATTTCTAATAAGGGGTGCCAATTTGTGGTCTATCTGCCCACCATAATAAAGTCAAACAGTCAGTATTTTCAACAATGTTTTTACGTGCCTTGAGAATTTGCAGTCCGGAATTCATCGATGAGGAATACAAATATATATATAATATTGGCTCAAACCTTAAATACCCTAGATCTTTCATAGACAAATGCTTAAACATTACTAAGAAAACTTTTTATAGAACTGATCCCAAGCCCACCCATGACCATAAGAATATCTTAATATTACCATTTCACAAAAATTTCTCACACATTCCTGCACAGCTAAAAACCTGGAACGTCAATGTGGCATTTAAAAACTCATGCACTGTTAAACAAATGTTAATCAAGAACTCCCCAACAACACAATTGGTTGCATTTATAAAGTTCCTTGCAAGGAATGTAATATGTTTTACTTAGGCCAGACAGGTAAAGATCTTGCAACTAGAATTAAACAACACAAATACAGTGTTAGGACAGGCCAGGAATCCAATGCTCTGTTTGTTCATTTGAGGGATAACAAGCATTGCATTGACTGGGATAATGCCTCCTCAATATTACCATGTAATTCAATCGATAGTAGGAACATCATAGAATCTAGTCTTATTAAACATACCGAAGCATCCAACATGAATTTGAGTAACGGCATGTACAAGCTGGACAATTTTGTAATTAAGAAGATTTGTG